AAAATAGTTTGCATTTTTTATGTTCTATATTTTTTTTGACAACTTAGTGTCTCTCCAGTCCTTCTTCCTACCCCTAAACTATATCTATTTAATTCAAGTATGTCTTCAAGAGAATTTTATTCTCAGGTAGAATTAGTTTATGCTTTGTGGTGTGACGGGAAGAGATTTCTTTTCTTCTTTTTCTCTGGAACACCTTTCAAATGTTTAGGTCTTAAATACAGATATTGTCCGGATTTAATCTTGCTGTATTTCCATAGAAATCTAAAAATGAACAAATATGTTGTTGGAGGTGAACATTCATGTATTGATTTAAAAACCTGAAAGCCCAGGTCATTCTAAACAAGTTCAGTGAGATTCTTTGGTGTGTTTCTTTTATTTTTAGCATGTTTCCTGTGTACACAAGTTTTATAACTTAGCCAATTAAAATACCATATGCCACGTAGAAGGGAGGTAGGCATACAGCACTCTAGATTGTTTCTGACCTTGAGCAAATGGATTTAATCTCTTTAACTCGTTTCATATCTGTATAACGAAGGATTATAAAAGTTAGTCTTTGTTTTGGAATGGTAAAATGCAGCCTCTTGAAGCACTTATCTTTTTGCAAGTGAAATCTGTTCTCTTCACTGTACTTGTTTTTCCTCTAGCTTTTTTCCCTGAGTCCAAATCCCTTTTTAATTATTTCTTTTTAATTTTCTTCTAATTTTTAAAGTAGGCAGGGGGTCTGCAGCTTTCAGCTAGACAGTGTTACAATACTGAGCATCACATCATTCATTCCTCATACTAAATAAAAAGCGTGATGGTCAGTTTAAGACTGCCATTTTGTCTTCTTCCAAACAAGTTAAAGACTTTTTTTTTAATAGTACTAAATATACTTTTTTTTTTAACATCATACTTTAAAAAAAATAATACCTTTGACAGCTGCCAGTGGAAAGTAGATGACAACTCTCTTGAAACTGTTTCACTTTCCAGTAGAAAAATATCATTTAGTTTTAATTCAACCTGAGATTCTCTCGTGGGCTAAGAATAGTGAGAGACAGTAAACATTAGTTCTGGAGGTTTTTATCTGGCTTGTTGTGGTAGTCTTCTGTTGCAAGAGCTCTCTTCTAGATAGAACAAATCAGAGCTCTCACAGAAGAGAGGTAATTGATAACTTCCAGAGGTTCTGGAACAAAGGCTAGGTGTTTGAAATTATCATAGCTCTGACTCACCTCCCTCCACTCTCAGTGAACAAAATGCTTCCGTTGGTTCCAGGAAATGCTGAACAAATGAGCTATTTTAATCTGTGGACAGTACCACTATTGTGGCAGAAAACCAAGCAGCACTTGAATATGAAATAAATCTGTGTTTTTACAACAGCAAAGTAATGTGTTCCCTAAAGTCACTAAGCTGATGCAAGCTTTTGTTCATATGTGAAAGTATGGAAATTCTGAAGTGTGAGTGTGCAAATTTGCCTTCTTTGTTGATTATAATACAGAGCCATTTGTAATAAGTTTGAAATCCCTCTTGGGGAAAAAAAAAAGGAAAAATCATTACCAGGTGTGTGTTCCACATGTTAAGAAAGAAAAATGAATAGTGTCAAAGCTAAATCACTCACACAGCATGGTTTGAGCATGGTTGTAGTGGAGAGGCAAAAATGTCTGCTTGAGTCATTCTTGAGTTTGCTATTTTATGCAACAAATAGCCCACAATTTTTTGCCTGAATCATGCAGGAAGCTTTAATAGGATGCTTATCTGAGTAATTGTTTAAAGTGCAAGCTGTCTTGAGACTCAGTTTCCTGAAAGAGCCAGAACTTGTTTTTTTTTTCTTTCTGTAATGTGTGAAATGTTTTATATAATTGATGAAAAAGACAATTAAATATGGAGATTTTGAATTAAGGGATGGAATGAACATTGTGAATCTTTACACATTAAAATAGGGAAGTAGAGTAAAAAGTTATTGAGTTATTTTTGTTTCCTGATAAAAAACAGTCATTTGGCTTCTTTCTGTTTGCAACGAAGCTTATTGCTTTAACAAAAAAGAACTAATGTATTTTGCCTTGGGTGTTCAGTTTGAGGCTTTTTTTCCCCCCTTCCACTAGATTACTTAGTCTTGATTCTCTTACCTGTTCCTTTTCCAAGGAAAAATGTTATTTGTATACATAAATACAGTATTGCCCAGCAAGCTTCAGGTCTCAGTCTGAAGCCCTGTGCCTGGACATGGTTTGGTGTATTTTTCTTTTCCTTCTGGTTTGAGATGGAAATGAACTTAATCACGTAAGGATTGAGTTAATTTTGTATGTTGTTTGAAATCAGAAATGCTTAGGAGCTCTGGGTCTTGCTTTATCCTTTCAGCTATAGCAAAAAGACAATCTTCCCCACTGGGGTGGTGATCGTGAGCTACACAGTAGGAGTTAATGTAAAATAACAGTCACACTATCTCAGTGGGAACATCATGAGAAATGTATGGAAATAAAGTATTAGTGAAGTTTTCTCCTTGATCAGCATTGTGTTTCTTTTCTTAGGTCTCTCTTCCATGGCTTTCATGTTTCCTTAAAAAGCTAGGGAAGAAAGTCAGCATGCTGTTTGTCAACTGCTGCCGAGATGAATGTCTGTAGTTCTTATTCTCTGTAGGGCTGGGGTGGAATTCAGGTGCAAGATAATTGCATTGTGCTACTGTGCACTATGAGATGGTAAATATTTTTTCTTTATTTGTGTTATAAGGAGTGGGTGGTCATTCTTTCAGGATGGAAGTCGTGTGATAAAGATGTGCAGTGACAGTCATTTGTTGTTGTGCTTGCATGTTACTGTAGGAGTGCTGTTTTGCTTGGGGTTGAGTGAAACTAAGTGCATGGCACAAGTACAGAAAGAAAAGAGTCTGACAAAATATATGGCAGCAATTTTAATCTTCAAATAGAGATATATACGTAGAAACATATAAAGTAGTAAATTGACAGGGTTGTCAAATACTGGGAAAGTGTAAATTGACAAAATAATGGACAGTTTTTCTTGGCATAGTGAATGCCACCTGAAATATTTTTGGCACCATTTTATCCAAGAAGCACTATGGCCCCCCAGTTTGAATGTTAGCAACAAAAAGCTAATCTGATGCTAAATCTTGGTGATCATATCCTAGCCTTTTGTCTGTTTTGACTGGTGGACTGGAGTGTACCTTCCCAGACATAGATCCAGACTTAGAGGAGGTTGGTGGAGCTGCCATGGAGTCCGTGATCTGTGGAGCCCATATATCATTCATCCAAGGTGATTAAAAGCCACTCAGTCAAGAGTCCTGTCTAAAACATACATGTATCTTTTTGGGTACTCGTCACCATCTCTGGCATGTTTGGAAAAAATGCAGATTTAGATTTTTTTTTAAAGTTGTTTCTCATTTACCATTTGTATTCTTAAAGATACTTTTTTTTCTTCATCATCTTCTTTTTCCTAAAAGTTTCTGCTCTTTTGCAGCTTGTCATTTACTAGTGTTCAGGCTGCAGTTTTTGGCATGGCGATGACCCTAGTCAGTCTGTGTCAAAATTTATCCTTCTATTTCTGTGAACTTACTCTACCTAGTTTGTCTAAGTTAATACTGTATCCTGATGTTCAGAGTTCGCTCCTGCTCTACTTCCTTCAGCTGCTTAGCTTACTCAATATATATCATGACCTGTATTGGGTTATTGATAGTTTCAGTTGTCTCTGTGTCACTGAAACTTAACATTTCATGCAACTGCTTAGCAAACAATCATCAGTAGGAGTCACTTGTAATATAGTTATTCTATATAATTTTGGTTATATGTTGCCACAAGAAAATGTATCTGTTTACTTCAGCACTGAGATTTTTATGAAAACCAGTAAACTTAATACACTAGTAACTAGTTTATGCCTAGTAAATGAAATGTTTCTCTGTGCTTTTAACTACAAATAAATTTCATGAACTTGCATGCCATTTTTGTGACACTTAAAATAGAGGGGGGGTGGAAAGTAGTGTTTGAGCATCAAACCAATTTCTAAAGAAACAGTGTGCTTTAGTGATTTTCTTGGGAATGTGAGCAAGTTGTCTTAATTATTTCACAACTGGATTTTCAGTTGTGTCAGGAAGAGTTGTCTTTACATGCTTCTCTGAAGAAAGTTTGTCTATTTGGGAAGAACAAATGAATCTGAAAATTGTGATGCTGATCTTGGTGCAGGGGTAATGGGAGGGTATGAATGATGAAAGCTGGATGAAGTAAATTTGTTACCAGGAAAGCACTGTACGTGGTGCTGCATAGTACAATAGGACATACATGTAGTAAAAACAAGCATGAACTCAGAGATACTTAGGGGAAGATGGCAGTTGATGTTTTGTGTGGGCTAGAAGAGGAGCTTGTAGTTCTAGCATGCTGCTGATAGCCAATAAAACACTGAGGAATAATCACAATGAAAAGTGATTTATAACACAATGGAAATGAGATGAAGGTAAGAAGGGAGTTGGAGACAAAAAGAGCAGAAGCGTTTCCATTTGTAGGCTAGACTTGCTCATTTTGGCTGTTGGTTGTTTTTTCTTTAATTGAAGACTTTCTAATGGCATGCTAGTGACAGTGGCATAAGGTGTTTAATGATAATATACATGGTAATTTAAGGTAGACTACCCAAAAGTGGGTGAGAGTACCAATCTTATTCACACTTTCTATATCTGAATGATAGAGCAAAAAGATGATTTATGTGTAAATTAATTGTACTTTAGTGGACTTGGGGAAATAAGGCTTTTATGTGAATTATTTCTGTATCCTTGGTTGAGATTTCATTTTGATTTCTTTATTTTTTTATGAGGAGGAGGAAGATATACTTGTTTATCATCTTATGCATTTTTCATGTAGATATTTATTTTTTCCTTGTTTTTTACAGTGCTTTGAATTTATTATGTGTAATGACCTGATTTGTGATTTTGGCGTTCTGTACTTTCTAAAAGTGCTTTGGCCAGTGTGCTTTCTAGTGAAATGTTGCAATTGATTTTCCCTGCTTGGTGACTTCAATTTCTTGTGTTTCAGAGCTGTGGAAATTAGCTGCAGTAGAATGGAAGCGTCAGTAATATTACCCATTCTGAAGAAAAAATTGGCATTTCTTTCAGGTACAGTTTGTTTTCCTCAATCTGTTCCTTTCTGCATTATATGGATGGGATTTTTAGTTTGCTTTCTTCTATTTATTGGATGTTTGTAATGGAAATGAATTATAGGCCAGCATATTATCATATTTCAAAAGCATCTGTGTACATTTATTATCTAGTAGCCAAGCTATTGTAGTTGGCATTTAGCACTTGTTTACACTGTAGCCCGTAACTCAACTCCATGAAGCTGATGTCATGAAGTTGCAGCACATAAGTAAAAGAATGATAATTTAGCAGATGTCCAAGAATAACACTTTTTGTTTTGTAAGTGGTATTAAAAATGCAGGTGGTTAGTTTCAGGATTTCCTTTAGAAAATTTTTCCTTCCTTGTCATCCTTGTCTTTTTTCCAGTGTAGATGGAAGCAGAATTAGCCAGGCATTGCGACACTTGGATTTTTTTTTTTTTTTACTACCTAGTTAATTCAGGCAAGGTTGAAATGACTGTTCTTTTATGTATTCTAACTTCTTGAGTCTTGAATTAAATGTAACTTTCTCATCTCCACAAGCAAAATAAAAACAAAAGGGAATGCTTGAAATGATGAATGATACTCTTTTCCTGATTTCTATGCTGTTACAGATAACTGTCTTAGTTGTTGGTGTTTGAATGTCTGCTTTAGGGAAGGTAGTTAATTTGTAGAAAACACCTCAACTTTACAAATTGACAAGTATTGCAATAACTAAATCTTCTGTTTTATTTTAGCCAGTCTATTTTAACCTGCCAATTCACTTGAGAAGGGAAGGGTATTCCTTTTTAAGTAGTTTTTAATTGAATTTGCTCACTGTCCGAAGGAACTTGAAATCAAACAACTAATTTAAAAAAAAAAAATCAGCATATATTTGCAGTCTGGAATAGCAGGTAACTTCTTCAATAGTATCAGTAGATGCATAGTATGGTTGGTTGTTCAGCATTGTACTACAAGGAAATTCTCATTAACTAGAGTGCCTTTGCAGCTTGGCCATTAAAGCTGCCTGATCCACCTTGAAATATAGATATACTTAGGTGAAAAGTAATTTATTGAGTACCAGGTAAATGCTAGCAACCTTTCTGAACTTATGTAATAGGCTTGACCTCTTTGGAATTGCATAGTATTAATGAATGTTTTAATTTAATAAATGGTAAAGATTCATGCATTAGTTCTTTTAAGCATTCTGTAGTGTAAGTAAAGGAACACAGCAGACAAACCAGTTTATTGTGTCTCTAAAGCAATATTATTCACTATAGTTTCATAAATAAAGCCATGATTTAAAATCAAAAAAATTATACTTTAGGGAAAAGTTCTCCGGTGTTTGTATGTTGAAGCCTCTTATTTTTAAATTATGTGGATACAAATGTTGGCACTGACTTCTTTTTCTGGAAGCAGAACACAGTTTCTAGTGGAACAGTGTCTCATCAGGTTTGGAATTCATGATGATGTGCAGACAAAAACAACAAAACAAAAAACACCACCAACAAAAAGAACCACTTCGGTGCAAACTAAATTATGGAATTTCACTTTTCTCTTTCTTTAGCTTACATGTATTTTTTTTTTTCAGTTTTCAGTTTGTAAACTGTACCACTTCTAAGTTAAGACGCACGTCATGGTGATTTGCCATGGTGGTTTTTTTTGGTTTTAGTTCTAAGCCTAAGGACTTAGCCTGAGAGTAGTGCTTCTTTGTAAGACAAATTCCAAGTTTATTATGACTAAAATCATAATTGGATTTTGTGTTTCTCTCTTAGCGTTGTATTCTGAATGTGGTAGTGAATGCTTATGGAATCAAATATTTAGAAGGATGTTAAATGTCATACAGCTAAGATAAAAGAGCAATTTACTTTTATTCAATTTAATAGTTTGTGTTAATATGGGCAAATGTAGACTGTATGATAACCATAATTTCTTAACTGGTACTTTTAGGGTAATATTTCTTTAAATCCTCAGTTTTTCAGTATTTCTTTTAAAACTAAAATTTTGAGTCAAAATGATTTTTATATGGGTAAAAATGAGTTAGCTTTTATATAAATCACTGGCTATCCTACACTGAACAAAAGAAGTGTTTTTTCTGGGCTCATCAAATGCTGTTTTAATCTAGGTATAAGAGTAAAAATTTCTGGGTGGCTAATATTTTACACAAGTAGACTTCATGTGATAATTCTAAATTTTGATTTGTAAGGCCTTTTTCAACACTGGAGTCTTTCAAGTCTGTAAACTAAATATGAACTACTATTAATTGTTAACTTTCTTTGCGTGGGTTGGTGCTAGTCTCGTGAATCCAGAAATAGCATGGAGAAGAGCAAGTCTTTCAGCTGTGAATCAGCAATGACAAGACTAACTTTGCATAAATGCAAGAACATGTTTCTGCAAACCATCCCAGTCCCCACTGCATATAACTTCAATGAAATGAACATCTTTAGGCCTCCACCTCAAGATCACTCATAAGTTCATGGGAGGTGGTGAAGAGGGAGCATTAGATACCATACCTACAAATCCAGAGCTGCTGCCATGGCATGCATTGCTCAGCGTGTAGTTTCTGACTCTGGAGGTCAGATCAAGGCCAACTTTCAGTTGTTCCTTACGGAAATGCCTTCATAACTTCTGGTGTTATTACTTTTCTTATCATGAGCTCATTCAGTTTGATCACCAGCTTCTGTCCATTCTGTGTTTTTAATCTTTATGGTTATTTGTGAAGTTTTTCTTTACTGTGTTAGTTTTTCATATTTTTCCATCTTGATGCACCTGAGCTGTTTATGAAATTAGCTGTTGCAATTTACAGCTTTTAGTTTCAACCATTTTTTTCCAATTTCTTAAAAATTGCTGTCCTCCTGCCTTTCAGAACTTTAAAAAAAAAAAAAAAATCACAGCTTTTTGGATAAGGAGAGACCAAACGATGCCCAACCACACAGGGCAAGGCTTCATTCTTCATTTTAATGTTCTGTTTTTTTTTCTTGTTGTTGAAATAGCTATCAAGCTATTGTTGAATCAGTATGGCTTCTGAGGTATTGTTTTACATCCACATAGCATTTTCCTCTAATTTGTTGGATTTAATGTGGGTTCACTGACCAGTGTAGGCAATGAGGAGAAATCATTTTTTCCACTCCAAGTGTGCAGATGAGAACAAATCTCCATTTTCTTTTAAGGATTGAGTTACTTTTCCTTCCTTTTTTTCTTCCCCTCCCCCTATCCTTTTTTCAGGCTTTCTGACTGAAAAGGCTTTTGGCCTGAAACAGACGAGGATGAACAGTCTGTAAACAACTGTTCCTTTAAACTTTGAACTCCTTCATGGATTCTGGAGAAAGGATCTGCCTGTTTATCCTGTCTAATGTAGTACTACTCTTTAACTCTTATGTTTAGAAATACTTATTAAAATCTGTGTTATTGGTTTGCCAACAATTCCTCCCCTCCCTTGATTTCCCCATTTTCCCCCCCCCTCCCCCCCCCCCCCCCCCCCCCCCACACACACACACAAAAGAAGGGGAGGGGGAAAGGACACAACTGTTGGAATAGACCACCTATAAAGCAGTAATTTTGAAGATGTGGAATATACTCACCTGAATAGCAGTAGATCTTCAATACTCTTTGTGGAGCTCGGGCAGCTTTGGAAGCAACGAAAACATTGCAATTAAGATGCCAACGTATATTGTGCAAACAAACTTTTCATTATCACACTTGCATCTCTAACATTTTGGGGGGAATTCTCAAATTACACCAATTTAGATATATACATATGCAGGCATTACTGTGCTGTACTTGTGTGCTTTGTCTTATTTCTCCACAGCTGTTGCTCTTTTTTTAAAAAAGTTCTGCTTTTTTAAAAAAAAGTCCTGATTTTGGGGGGAGAGGGGAAGGCAAAACCATGATTTAATGGCTTTAACAACATAAACAGCACATTCATAATTTGAGAATAAAATTTTGCCCCCCCTCAGGACACAGGAAAAATTACTTTTCTTTGTCATCCCTGATGAAGCTGAGATTGTAACAAGGTCATGACAATTACATATTTAAAATCTGAAGTTACTAGCTGCCTCCTTGTATGTACTGAAACGGTTCCATGCTTTTGGACTGATTTTTTAATATACGTTAATTTTTTTTAAAGTTTTGAATAAAATGGAAAAGCCTTTAAAATGATCCAGACTGTGAGAAACTTACTTTGAAGCTGGTTTAATCTAGAGATGGGTATTAGTGTTTAAGTACAAACACCTGGTAATTAAAGCAAAACTGTAGTAAGCTATGGAGTCAAGCAGTAGGCCCTTCTGAAGTCTGTTCACATTCATTCGTGTTTTTTATTTCATGTGTGAGTTCCCTTCTCCACTTCTCCTTTACTTTTTATCCTGTTTCCCTTTGAACAACAAATTTAATAAAAATAGTTGGAGTCTGAAATGACGTTTTTTTTAGCTGATTATAGACATTAAAAGATTTAAGGCTAGAGAGAAAAAAGTAGATAAGCTGATTTGCTCAAACTAGCAAATACATAAACTAGATAGGAGCTGCTCCAGATTATGTGGAAAGATATAGCGCAGCTACCTCTGGCCCATTACTGAATTTAATTCTTTAACTTAACAGCTATTTACGACAAATTTTTTGATCCCAAGGCCTTGTGCATTCAGAAGATCACCAGCCCAATCCCTGTACGTGGAGATGCAGTGAATATGGAAGAGTCTGCTGCATACCTGACTGGTTCCCTTCACACTACAAGATTTTCTGGCTGACTTTTCTGATAGAATAGAAGCACATAGCAGGGAGCTGTGTCAGTATTTATTTTTCATGTGATCTTGTTCTATTAAGTATTTTTGGCTTAACTTCCACTTTAAACTATGATAAAACCGAGTCCAAATCAATTTTGGTTGCTGGTTTATAGACATGTGACTCAAAAGTCAGTTTTTTAGAGCAATCACAGAATATCGGAGTTGGAATGGACCCACAAGGATCATTGAGTCCGATTTCTGTCTCTCCAAAGGACCATCACAAAAAAAAAGAAAGGAGAGGACCAAAGAGAAAATTTCAGCTCTTTGAAAACAAAAACAAACAAACAAAAAAAAACCCCACAACTCTTTTTCCATTTAAACTATACTTTCCAGAGACTTTCTGGATCCTGTGTAATCAAAAATGACCCAACCCACAGCTGTAGAACATTCTACTTAATCTACTTAAATGTAGTACTTCAGCATCATTTAACAATTGATCTTACTAGATCTTGTCATAGAAGTAAAAATGTGAGGCTAGCACTTTCCCTGCTGTTTTCCTGTATTTTTGTGGCTGTTACTGCCTGTATAACTTCTATTAGAAGGGTTTAAAACACACAAAGATTAAAGCAACTGGCTTGAAGTATTTATCTTAATTGTGAGGTGATTGTTACATGTTTGTAAGTAGGTATGGAAATCTTACAAGTTTGATGCTTGAATTATCAAATCAGAATATATTCCAGGGGCAGCCTGTGTGGTAAAAAGATCCACATATTTGTATAATGGGTGTTCCAGGAGGTCCTATGTTACATTTAGAGCTGCAGTGTGCTCACTCATCTTAGAAGCTTACCATGTCTCTGTCAGGCTGGTAGTGTAGACAGTTTAGGAAATGCTTTTTGGAAAAAGGAATCTAGATATGAAAAAATAATGCTTCTATAAAACTTGATGTAGGCTGCTGTTTATGTTGAAAGCACTAGATGAAAGACTAACCGGTATGAATGGGATCTATGCTCTGAAGCTTTGGTGATGCATTAAATGTTAGTGAGGTGAATGAATCGTCAAGTCTGAGGAGAAACTTCACTTGTGATTTTCACAGCAACTTGAAATACTAGATTTATGGTGTGTTTTGAGACCGTATAGCTACTAAGTTTTTTGGTTTTGTTGTTTTTGTTTTTAAATTAACTTTTTAATGACTTTTTCATCCCCCAAATAGGAGGGAAGGACAGAAGAAGTGGCCTCATTCTGACAATTCCATTATGCCTTGAGCAGACGAGTATGGATGAGCTGAGTGTCACGCTAGACTACCTGCTAAGCATTCCAAGGTGATTTCAAAGGTGTTTGGCTCAGGGCTACGTGCTTTTCCAGTGATAGGAGGGGTCTCTTGTTGTTTTTCGTTTTTTTTTTTTTCGATGTGACTTTCAATACAAAATAAATTTTATGTAAGTGTTTAAAATGTGATACAATTTGATTTAATTAGAAACATATGTTTGAAAAAAACATCTATTAAGGCTTGTCAAAGTTCTTTCATTCTGCATATCTGGCTTTGGTTGTATTGTTTTTTTGGTTTGTTTTCCTTATGTATTTCCTCACTCCTTTCTTTGTATATCTTTGGTTATCTATTTCTAATGACAGTACATTTGAATTGTGTTCTAAATTGAGCCACCATTGAAATTCTTAAGCTTACAAAGGTAGCATTGCAGTTGCTGAATTTACCCACAGTAAATTTTCTCCTCTTTTTTTATTTTGCTATATGCATACTCTCGCTAATCTCTAGAGCTTAACCATGCGCTGAGTTTAAAAATAGATGAAATCTCACTGAAGTTAATGAGTTTATGGAAATGTTTAAAGTTAATACCGCTTAAATGTGCTGAATTATGACTTGAGTGTTGTTCAGTCCTCACTGTAAAATAATTATGTTCTGCTTATATAACTCTGTAAATTTATGACAGTTTTTGGCCCTAGCTTAGCTGCATTTTGTTTTTTAAAATGTAGAGACTGGTCTTTACAGTTGCTTTGTATTTATCTAAAAGGAAAGAAGCCCGTCAACTAAATATTTGTATCCCTTTAAGTATGTTTTTTTTTGGAAATAAGAATAACTGAAGAATGTTTAGTGCACTTTGCTTATTGGAATCTACAAATGTGTTAAAAACATGGTTAAATAATCCAACTTCTTTTTGTATTTAAGGCTGTTGGGGAAAAATAAAAAAGCTCTGGTTAGGTAGAGAGTGTCAAAGAATAAGTTCAGTGTGTTTACAGGTAAAACATCAAAACGTGTATGTTGAACAGCGTTTTAGCTGTGGAAGCCTTAGGGTTTTTCAAACAGCTGGTCTTTTTTTTAAAGTCATGAAAATCCCAAGTTGTCATCCATGCAAGTCATCTCATTGACTTAAGGACTTGGCCACGTTTATGGAACAGATGCAGGCATTGTTGTTCTCACAAGCATTAATTATTCTGCAGTCTCATCCTGCTATATGTTTTTACATATATTAGCGTAAAAATAACTGTCTGAAAATTCAACCAAAGCACTCTTTGTACAAACTTGGAAATCTGTTTGAAAGAAAGGTTCAGTGTTGCCACTTTGAATGTTCTGTTTTTCAGTCATGTGGAAAAAATGACCTCTCTTTTATGGTGGCAGTATGGAAAGATTGTTGTCATTTTTGTTTGCATTTTGTTTGTTTAGTGGGAAGTGTGTACTTTTTGGCCAAAGCTCATGCCTTTTGTGTTCTGGAAAGAGTTGTTGAACAGTGTTTGAAAAGGAGGAATGTTGTCCCAACCCTGGATAGCTGTCCAAGAAACATTAATGATACTTTTTTCCCCAAAGTTCTATCTATAAAGTAACCTAATGTGTTCAACTTTGAATTTAGTTGTGCATTCTATATATTATAATTGTAACTGTTTTGTAAGGCAGTTTCTTTTTTTAGCATTAGTGGTTAGTTGCTTCCAAATTTAAGAGGCGTAACTGTTTAGTGTCTCGGGTAACATTCTGTGTGTGAGTAACACACCTAGATCTTCAGAAATCACTTTTCTAAAGTTTCAAGTCAACTGTTATACTTTGCTTTGACGGAATTGAAAATTAGAGCCCTATTAAGAATATAAGAAAAGCAAAAGCAGCAGTGTTATTCTATTGTCTGTGCTGGTAAAAGGTTGCTTGCTTTGTTGTGTTCTTTGTACTGTAGTTCAAATCACTGAATTTTATTTTTTTCTTAAGTTTTCCTGTAAACATTTGTTTGGTTGCTGAATATTTCATAAGTAGTAGCTTACTTCTGGATTTGATTTTTATTTTTTTTTTATGGGGGGGAATGGATTTAGTAGTTGTAGAGAACAGGTATGGATACCTGCAATACCTCAAGATGTTATAGTGCCACTATTCATCTTGTTCTTGAAAGTACTGGTAGTCAGTCTTTGAGTTCATTCTGAACAAATATTGCATGCACAAGGTATGATTATTTTTTTTTCAGAGTGCTTCCAGGAAAATCACATTTGATTTTACAGGTTCCTTAAGCAAAATCAAAAGGACTTAAGGATTGGCAGCCAACTTTGTAATTAATGTTCTCCTAAATAGACATGTGAAACTTAATGCTTACTGTTAAAAGCAAGGTATGTTGCTTTTTGTAAGCTAAGGAGAAATGGCTTTGTTTTATAATCACAGGTTTGAGAACCTGGTCTCTAAAGAGACTGCACAATGCTTTTCTATCTTGTGTAAATGTCATGTTTTTTTAGTTACTTATAACTTTGCCAGATATCATTTCTCAGGTTGAAATTTTTCTATCTTATGTGGTAACTTATGTCAAAAAATACAAACACCTTTCCCTGACCTCTTCTGGCTGCTGCTGTGCTGATGGTCATATCCAGGGGTTGCTGCCACCTTTGAACTCTGAGCTGTTCTTGTTGGGCACCTTGCTGCCTGCTTCAGTTAGGAATGAGCTGGCCATCAGCTTGTGTTAATGTACTGAGAGCAAGGAAAGTTTTCACTGTTTTTTTCTCATTCAGTACTTAAAAATTCAAAAGCTATTACCACTTGTCTTTGCAACTGGTTTTTAAGCAGAGCTTTTGTATGTAGTATGCCCAGACTCAAACCTTCTTATTAGAAAATATGTTTGTTTAAAATATTGTTTTCTAGATCTGTAGGCAAAGCCTCTGTCCTTGTAGAGATTTTTTTGTCTCTTCCCTGAACATTTAGACAATTTGTTCAGGGAAGAAATTCAAGGACGCTTAGATGACTTCCTGCTTCGACATGCATCAAATGATATATAGCTCTGTCCTCAAATCTGCACCAATTCACAGTGACCTCGTGAAAACTGGCATCCCTTTGCCTTTCATAGGAAAGTTTGATTTACAGTTTCATGTCTTTCTGAGGATTTTGTGAAGCTTATAGCAAAGTGGTGAAGTTTATGGTGTAGTTACGAAACCTTTTCAGAGATGCTAAAGTTTAAACAAATACTTTTTTTGTCATATCTATTATAATTTTTAATAATTATTGTGCATCAATATTGAAAATTACTCCTAAGTGAGCAAACCTAAGTTTTGTAAATAGTATTTTCAGAAGTAAACTATATAGCTGTATTTTTCAGTATATTTAAATCCAAAGTCATTGTGGTCTGACACTTGATGATGATTTTTTTTAACTTTTTCCTAAGCATTTTTCTTCTTTTTAGTGAAAAATGCAAAGCTAGAGGATTTACTGTGATTGTGGATGGTAGAAAATCTCAGTGGAACGTGGTGAAGACGGTTGTGTTAATGCTGCAGGTAAATCAATTTTTATACATTCATAGTTGACAGATTAGGTCTGTAGATGTAAACCTAGTAACAGTTTTACTGTAGAGGTAATAATTTCTTAATAGAGAAAGACAATTTATGGCCTTTTACAGTCACAGAATATGTGCTCTGTACAGGAAGAAACAATCTGAAAAGGGAATGATTTCTTCACTCAAGTGAATGTCAAGTTCATTACCAGCTCAAAACATGAGTTTGTAGATCTTTTTCTAAAACAGAGTTTTAGTTTAAAGAATACAGAAGTATGCTCCTCTCAACAGCTATGAGTGGTAGGAATGTCTGCAGGGGACAGTTGGCACTGATAGTGTATCTAAGTAGGCTTTGATGCAATATGCTGTACTAATTGGCTTCCATTGGAATTGACTGTAGTAGTTGATTTTGTTGTATGTAATAGTTTCAGTCAAATTATATCCTGGATGCTATTCAAAATAGAGAGGGGAAAAAGTGCAAATTCCTAGATAGAGAAGTTCATAATATATTATTTTATCTCTTCAGAATGGTGGGTTAATGAAAAAGTCTTATTTCTGCTAAACAGTGTAGGTTATTTTCTGGTCTCAGTGGTCGAAGAAAATGTAAGATACAGCACACTGAAACAGAGTAGAGAACTTGGACTTTCATACTGCAATTTTAGTTAAGCCAATCATTCATGTTTTTCTGTATTAGTACGGCATGGTGTAGTGGTTGGACTTCAGGACTGGGAGTAAAGAGGTTAGATTTGCTTTTCAGTTCTGACACTTTTGCTATGCAGTTTAATGAAATCTAACATGGGACATAGATGCAGAAAATTTTGTTTAATTTCTATCTGCAAATGTGAGTTTTTGAATAGATGGTGACACTTGAATGGAATTCAGTTCTGTGGAACAAGAAAGCTAAATCTTGAATGTTTTACTGGTTTCTTCCCCCTATCACCCCAATTTTTTTTTACAGAATGTTGTTCCAGCTGAAGTATCGCTTGTTTGTGTAGTAAAGCCAGATGAGTTTTGGGATAAGAAGGTTACACACTTCTGTTTTTGGAAAGAGAAAGATAGACTTGGCTTTGAGGTATGTAGAGTTTTGTTTTCTTCAGTCAGAAATACTATTTTTGGAATACTAGATAAATGGATGCAAATGAATGTCATCTTAAAATAGTTTTATTTTAGATGCTCAGTGTATATTCTTAATAAACCACTGTTTTCTTGTTTTCTACTTGAAAAGAATATTAAATATAGTAATTTCAAATTAGAAATCTTTTCCTCAGCAAGAGGATAAAACTGTATGATACATTTGGCTGATGTTTTGACGGAGAAATTGCTACAGTGTTTAGTGTGAATTTTGTTCACGACTTTTGTACGAGATTGTATAGTGTTACCATTTTGCAGAACATCTTATTGCTGCTGAATACCTCTCTCACCTTTGATTTTTTTCTGACATTAGCAACAAAGGTTACAGGGTCTTTCAGCTTTCCAAAAATAAGCTGATAGTATTACCTCATGAGGCAGAGTGTGTACAAGAGATTACAGCCTAATGTTATCAGTTCCATTTTTTATCTTTTTGGGAAGTTAATGGAAACTTCAGTTTTCCCTATTTTTAGGAAATTACCCGTATCATCAATCTTTCCAACTGTTTTTGAAGCTAATTTGTTTGAACTATGACAGGTTTGCTGTGTTTGCCAAATACTAAAATGCCTGCTTGTTTTGTACAAGGCACTATGAAAGCATTTTTTTTTTTTTTTTATGACAGAGGTTGAAAAGAAAAGATTTTTTGCAGCCTTATCTTACACTGGTAAATTCTCTCAGATTGTAAGATTATAATGTTCTTGAATACTCCTGTTGAAAAGTTATTCAGGGAAAATGAGACTTGGAAATTGGCAGCTAAAGGTTATGTAACTAATAAGTAATATAGTCCTATATTAGGAAAGAGACTATAATCCAGATAAAACACTATTAAGTTGTATGATTTTTGTTCTCTTAAGTCTTTTATTATCAGACTTTACATAGAATAAGTGGCTTTGTTTCATTTTTTAGAAACATTTCCTGCATGTCAAAGTGGTGTGCAGCAGTGGAACAGATGGCATGGGTTCCTATTTTCAGTCAAGTGGCCAATCCCTTTTTTTTTTTTCATTTTTTTTTTCATTGCATTACTTCATTTTCATTCTTGTAATGTGCTTTAGAGCCTTATAAGTAAGGAAGTCCTACATCTTTGTCTTCAGGATGTTTACCTTACAGAATAAGGTCGTATTTTCAAATAGTTCGTTAAAGACACTTTGAAAAGTAGCCCAAATACAGTAGAGCAATGCAAAGAACCTTGGAAGACCTGTCTATGTTTCAGATAGCTAGGTGTTTGTTAATAAAGGTAATAAGGTAATAAAGGTAATTAAGTGCCTGAAGTTAAGGGCTGGAAGTGGTTCCAACTGTGATAATATTGTGACTTAGGTACAGTTGCGTTCTCCTGGGTTTCACAGATAGACTTGGCTTTGAGGTATGTAGAGTTTTGTTTTTGGGTTTTTGTTTTGGGTTTTTTTGTTTTAGAGTTTTTGGGTTTCTGTTTACCTTCACCTAAATCCCTTGAGGGGACTGACAAGGGGGTGTAGTCAAGGTTTCTGTCTTGAAGTTCAGCAATTAGCAGCTCAGCATAGTCACAAACAAGATTACCAGAGCAAAAAGAGATGAGTAGGTGATATCCACCTATTACATGCTAGTCAATTGTTCGTGGCACATCCAAGATGAGCATTAAAAAAGCAACTGAAGCAACCATCTGTACTAAGAAGTTTATTATTTTAATGCTAGGGCACCAGAATTCATATTTTTCATGCATTTTACCAAAAACGGATATAGCAGTTATACATTTTTTAAATAATCAAAATGGCATTTATTTAAATGCATCTTTCTTCCTCTGCACATATCTTTTTTTTTTTTTTTTTTTTAATTTAAACTGGAGCTGATGGGTCCTATGCTTTAAAAACCCGTGCCAAATCAGAGAATTGTCCCTGTGGAGCTAGGGTACATAAGCCTGTGTTTAGTTCACTTTCTGAATTCAGTTCTAAAGGAAGGTATGTTGAAAAATACCAGGTTTTGTGTGTCTATTAGTCTCTTCTCTAGGATGCAAAAAAGGTAATGTGTTATTGCCATGAGCCCAGAAGGGCAATGAGTAGGCAAAACTGTTTGTGCTGGAAAGCGAAGGAGAGGGTTATTGGGAGTGGAGCTGACATTCTGGTGGGTATCTAGGTTCTGCTTTCTGCTATTGGGTTTCTAGTATTCCAGATTTTCTGTATGATACTGACCAGATAAATATTTAACTTGTATTTCTTTACCTTAATGCTTAATCAAATAGTGTTTCAAACAATGTTTATCATGAAACAGTAGGAATTTTGTTCTTAAGAGGAGAAGTCTTTTTCTTTACAATTGTGGCAATGAATTGCCACAGACCTGGTAGGTGGGTAGTTATGTTTAGTCTGTTTAAAGTGCCATAGTTATTCTTGAAAAACCACCAGGAGAATAGTTGAATCCTTATTTCATTTTTCTGCAGGAGCTGAATTTGCTGAGGAATGAGCACAGCTAACTTGGGGGTGAGGGGGCAAAGATGAATCGGATTATTTGGAAAACAAGTAGGATTCATATTTGCTTTTCAAACAACAACAACAAAAAAAGAAAAACAAGAAACGCATTACTGCTTTTTACACAAAGGCTGCCTTCAGCATATTGTGAAAAATGAAAATAGGAGTTCTTTGGTTTAGATTTTTCCACGGGTTGAAGTGCAAAGTTATGCTCGCAATCTCTGCCTTGTTCATTGAAGATTCCTCTGTGTTTTCCAAAGCTGTTTGGGTATGTAAGCTGTTGGCATAATAGATCATCAAGAATCCATCCACTAATGGTGAATCACAGAATCCTAGAATATCCTGGGTTGGAATAGATTCACAAGGATCATCAAGTCCAACTCATAAGTGCATAGGACGTTACCAATGCTTGGCGATAATCAAACAGGCTGTGACAGGGGATGAGCTTTCTGGTCTTCTGAGTGTTTCCTGGCAGAATTCTTGAAACATGGACAAAAACCCCTCTACTTAGGCCTCTTTGAATGGAATATGTCCAAAATTACCAACCTGTGGCCAGATAAATATGACCAGCTTTTTGCATGCATTAATAATGTTCTTTTAAAATGAAATCATACGTTTTAAGAATGATAGATTATTTTGATGTGCATTTATATACCTTCATATACTTTTGGAGAAGCTACATTTGTAGTCAGCTTCCTTGTAATATAACAAATTGGAACAAAGAAACGTTACCATACATATTTAAAATTCTGTGCATAAGTGTTCTGGCTGTTGCATTTCTATCGCTTTCACATAACACCAAATCGCTATGTCTATTCTCTGTGAAATTCAGCGTGTTTTTAGATTTACGGTTTTATATAAATGTCTTTTAGTAATAAGAATACTTTTTTTAAGGGATGACACCAACTATTCTTTTAAACTAAATCTAATTTTTAAGAACTCTTAACTTTTAAGAACTGAGATTAAAAGGGGTTAATCCCTTTACAGTGCTTCTATATCTATTCCTCAGTATAATTTTTTTGCCCTGATGATAGGTATAGAATATTATTATTCAATTTGTTTAGATAATTTTCTTAATTTATCCCAGAACTGGAAAGTATTATTCATTGATATGAAGCTATGAAGATCAATACAGATACTTACTCCATTCAGAATATCATATCCTTGGATCACATTAGTTTAAATATTGTATTCTCAAGGAATATGTTTATGTTTTTTGAAATGTCACCATTTCATTTTAGATTCAGTAGCATAGCTGTTGTGATGTCATATGCTTCAGTTGCAAGTAACTTGTAACTGAAATACTACACCAGCTTGTCTTCCAGTAGTTTTTGGTTTTGACTCTGTAAATGGCATTTGTATTAAGGAGCTTTTTTATTCCCTAAAGGAAGCTTACATGGATGTTTCTATCATTTGGGGGGATCCTTTTGCACGTCCTATTGAATATTCAGAAGTTTCCGTTGCTGATTTTGACATCTGCCTCCATCTGGTTGCAGACAATTGATGAAAACAGTTGGAAAAAAAAAAAAAGGAAATGACGTAGAGGGAGAGGTCAGCTTTGTACAAACAGTATTCAGAGCTCTTGCATTATTAGAGATTAGTGTTAATGGCACTGTTGCATCAATCAAAATCATGCTACTAGAAAAAAGTTACTGTAGTGTCCAGAGGAATAAAATACAGCACTTCTACTTTTCCCCAAACAATTGTCTATATTATTTCTGAAAAGGCTTTAACAATGTTTTGGCAGGCCAATATTGTCGATTAGAGTAGAACAATGATGAGAGGTGTCACCACTCTTACAGATTATAAAAAGAAGCGAGTACAGATGGTGATCAGTACCAAACAGGACACACTTGAAACCTGTTACCAGTCACCTTACTAGCTGTCACTTTGTCAGAAAGGGTGGGCCGAGTGGGAAAGGAAACAAAGACTTAAGGATTCAATAGGTAGTACTTTTCCCAGTCTTTGAAAGATCTTGTCTTACCATCTGTACAGACGTATTCATTTTTCCCTTAGGAGATTTAAGCTGTTCACATTATAGTCTGCTGTCCAAAGGTTTTTGCTTGAGATTGAAAAAAAAATTTCTAAAGCCAACATAATAAGATCATTTTGGAAAAGGAAAATCAGTCAAGTTGCAAGCAAATAGTGGGATACTTCTATTTTTATAAATGTAAATTGTCTTCGTTTATACCTGTGTCTTAATCAGTATTCAGAGCTGGCAATAGAGATGATAGCAATGAGAAGTCATCACAGAGAATGGCAGTCTTCACAGAGGAAAGAAATTAATGAAGATGTTCTTTGTGTTCTTTATGTTAAATCGTGAAATACAGATGCAAAGAGGATAGAATGCTAATTCATAAAGAAAAATAGTCAGAATGTGGTGATCTGCTATTAATTTTCACAGAAGGCCAAAGACAATTACTGTGATCAGATTTTGAAAAAGTTTTAGGGATCTGACAGCAACAGTTTGTATGCTCTAAGTGCTGGCCTTACAGTAGAATTATCTAGAATAATAAGTAAAGATAGTCTAAGACAATATTCTATTAGTGTGTCTTTGAGAAGGGTCTTATCTGTTCTACAACATCACACCTTCCAGTTTTTAACTTTTTTTTTTTTCTTCCCTCTTAGCCCATGTTCAAGTAGAGGTCTGTGGTAGCTAACTAAAAGAGTAATTCAGAGAAAGTTACTAATGTAAAGCAAATGGAGGGAGTTAACATTAACACTGTCACTAGTCTAATTCAGTACAAGAGCTAAATTCTGTTGAGGAACCTCCCTTCCATTTCTACTTCATTAAAATTTCAAATGATTGCTTTCCTTTTTTTGAAGTTTTCAAACAGGCTTACTGCAGTTGTCTGAAATAAGCCAATAACTCCGTTAGCTCAAAGTTTTTGAACTGTAGAGAATAAATGTTTTTTGGAGCAACAACATAAGTTACAACAAGACTTCTTATTGGAAATTTTGTCATCTTCAAAATTTTGCTAATAAGATGCACGTGAAGTTTGTGTTCTTTGATCAAATCCTACTTGTGGGGGGTGGATGGGGAGAAAGATTTTTATCTCATGTTGCTAATATTTGTTACATGGAGGTTTTGCTTTGCTAGAAAAGATTTTTTTTAATGTCTCCATGGAACAAGTTTGTAAAGTGTATCCCCTGGTCTTACCCCTCCTTTGAAGTATTTCAATAAAATACTCAGACATAAGCAGTCTCAGTGCAGTCCATCCTTTTATTGAGGCAGTTTTCTTTTTTTAGAAGTGATATTTCAGTGGTATGAACCAGCCACTTTATTTACATTTGTTTCACTTCTGAGATGTCCTGAATGAGTAAATTAATTTTATTTTTTTATTAACTGAGAGGCATGGAAACAGAATGTAAAAATTACTTAAACTATATGTTCAGCACATTTGCACAGTAAATAGTGGTGCTTAACTTGTGTGGCATAAAGGACTGCAAGAGTGTGCTGCAAATACTTTTACTGCAAGAGAATACTGCAAACACTTCTAAGTACTTTGCAGCGTAATATCCTGCTACTAAGTTCACTAAAAATAGATCATGTGAAGTATGGCTTAAGATGCATCAGTTACCACAAAGAAAACAGCCAGGAACTATGTTGATTTCTCCTGCTGTACATAAACAAGCTGGTACAGGTGATTCTGGTAAAGGATTATGCATGAGATGTAAGCTGCATATAAAAACTACATGCCTGGTTTAGGTCCCAGTTAAATGCAAGCAGTCATAATTGATATAAGTGTTTAGCAGTAAGAGGGTCCCTTCTTGTGAATCACAGAGAAGTTCTGTTCAGTACCTCTGGACACTTAGCACAACTTGTCAAGTACTTAAGTATAAACATTGCCTACACCTGTACCCAAAATTTCTTCTGTTGTTGCAGGTTATTCTGGTATCTGCTAACAAACTGACTCGTTATATTGAACCATGCCAACTAACAGAAGATTTTGGAGGAACTCTCACCTATGATCACATGGATTGGTTGAATAAGAGGCTGGTTAGTTTTCTCTTTCTTTCAAATGTCTCATTCTTGATCTATGAATTTTTATTTGTGTAGGAACTGTTCAGCACATAGATTTTTCCTATGCATAGAATTGCAGTTCAAATGGATGAATGTATGTAATTACTAACACTGGATTTTACTCAAGGGTAATTAAGCTAAAGTAATCAATTTATTGAATTAGCTTGTTCCTTATTGAAGCTCTCTTACACCATCAGAGCCTGAATGTATGGTATAGTGGCTGCAAAGGGAAACTTTCTGCCTACTCATAGGAGAAATCCCAAGCGAGGAGGAAATATTTGGACTCTGCAGGTGTTTTAAAGTTTTCTTATTCCTCAGTTACTGCGGACTGAGAGCCTGTCTATATGCTGCCCTACACTGAAATCTTTGTCAGTGCTGTGGATACAGGGATGCAATAAACGTCTAGGAGCAAATACGCACCTAAATCATTAATATACACAAATTGTTACAGCGACTGTAGGTGCACATAGCACTGCAGAACGTTTCTAATCAGTTCTCCACTGTTACTTGTTTTCCAGTTACTTGAATCTTCAATACAACATTTAATCTTGAAAGAAACTGTTCTCCTGTGCAATGTGTTCTTCAAATGTGTATCCCCCTCTAGGATCTATAGGTGGGATTCTGGACACAAATTCTCCACAATGCTTTCCAACTCCAACTGCCCAAAGCCTTCAAAAGTACCATGCAGCCAATCTCATAGCAGAACTTCCCCTGAAAAAGTCTGAGGGCTATACCTTTTTCCCCATCTGGATCTTAGTAAATTGAAATGTAAGTGTTCAGACCCAAGGGCAGAAGGACAATCTACTGTGCCGCTGTTTTCTGTTAGTCTTTCATGAGGAGCAGTATGTGTGCATAGACTAGGGCAAGGCAGCTTGTTTCTGCTCTTCCTGAAACCAAGAGAGTCTGGACACATGTTGGGGCAGAGGGAGGGGAAGGGATATTGAATATCTTCGTGGTCTTTCATTTTTTTTGTCTGGTATCTACAAATGTGGCTTCTACTTACTTCTGACGTTCACAGAGTTGATAAGCACAGTATTTTCACTGTAGCTGGGACTTCTGTTTTAGTTCTGTGGATTTTTGTTTTATAAACCACTATCTTATAAATAAGCTTTTAAGAGCTGTCCACCTCTTGTCCTTCTTGTTTTTTCCTAAAATTTAACTGGTCTTACATCAGTTAAGGAAACTTCAGCTCTAGACCATGAATTAATAAATTATGAACATGAGAAAGACCTGAAAGTTACTGCCTATGTCAGTTCTGGTACCAGATCGTGTCTGGTTCTGTTAAAGCTCTGTTCTAGAGGAGTCATGTGAGCAGTACCCAATGTCTTACTAAACAGGTCCTGCTATCTATACGTACTCCTACACGTGAAGCAACTGATTAGGAGCATTTTTTAATTCATAACTACTCCTTCTTTTATATCAGTTATTTATTACACTATAGCTCCTATTTGTAGCAGTGAAAAACTGTCATCTTCACAAAGGTGGTTATTTTAATCCGTTCAAGCGAACTGTCAGATGTTTTTGTAACATTCATTCAGAATTATTCTTAAGATTTACTTAAAGATTGAGGCTTAAATCAAATGGTGGAATATATATGTCCATAAGGGCTTCCAGGTTTTGCAAAAATTAAAGATTTGTCAGTGTTTCAGAATTTAGCCCTTTTTCATTATATTCAGTGTTCTATTTCTTATTTTCTTAAGGAATCTTAGCGCTCCTAAGTGTTCCATGAACAAATCTTTTTATTTTCAGCCATTTTTACTGTGCCATCTGAATGCTGGGCAATAATATAAAGGTTGAAGTATATTATCAGAACTAGCAGATAAATTTGTAGTGATGCCTTCAAATACTGTCACTTAAAATTGTTTTTCTAAATGTAAAACATGTTTTATTTAGGTATTTGAAAAATTCACAAAAGAATCAACATCCTTACTAGATGAGCTTGCTCTAATTAACAATGGAAGTGATAAAGGAACTCAAGAAAAAGAGAGGTGTGTGGTTAGCTTCTTGAAATTAATGTTTTTGATATAAAATTTCATTGGAATTCAAAATGATATTGAAAATGTAATGTCTTAAATGTCATACAAAATATGTAAGGAAATTTTCAAAGTTTAAAATACAGACTACAAAATTTGTGATGTATGGATGCTCGCTTGGCTATTGATTGCATATAGCTGCACTTCTGATTTGATAAAAATGAGTACAAAAAGTGAGAATTTTGACTGGCTGTTTTTGCTGATACTTAGAATCAAGATGGGGGAGAGGGATTTACTCCCAGTACTTTGCTTTCTAATAAGTAGTTGTGTACCAGATGTAAACAGGCTCCAAAAGAAACTAAAGGACTATAAGATTTTTTTAACATGTGTGTTACAAAACATATCTATACAATGTCAAAGGCAAGCTGATGTTTTCAGTTATTTCCTATGACTTTGATAAATGATAGCTCTTTCTATAGATTTACAAAGAGCTTGTTTAGTTAAGGAATTAGGCTGGGATGCAGGATATTTGTATTTCATTTTATACTTTGTTGGAAGTCTCTTACGACAGACAGTGCACAAGCCGGTGGGGCTATGGTCTTGTTCAGTTATCCTTGCTGGCAGGCCACATTTAAGTACAAAGCTGCTGCCTCTGTTACGCAGTTCTGTAAACTATGAATGCAGCTGTTTATCACTTGATCTGTTCTTTACCTATTTTGTAGTATATGATGTATTAGTTCTTTGGGGTATGAAGGAAGGAGAGGTGTGGAGGAAAGTAACATACAGTCTCTTAATGCTTTGTGGTAGCTCCAGTGTTGGTTGAAGCCTTGTAGTGCTACTGTATTAGAAATGAATGATTAATAACGTGTTTATTACTTTATTCAAGATCAGTAGATTTGAACTTCCTTCCATCAGTTGATCCTGAGATGGTACTGCAGACAGGTAAGTTGAAAAATGATCATGTTGGTTAATAAAGTTCATTATTCATTTTCATGCCCCACATGAAAGCACAGAGGGCGTGATAACTATCTTAACAAACATCTCAATGTAATGAGTTTATCAATTAATGTAATCTTTAGATTAAAAAAGAAATCTTAGCAAATACATGGAAGAACTCCAAATGATTTGTCTGTTTAAAATAGGTTTTAGTAGTGCTGATACCATCTTCATGGTGTTACCATAAATTAATAGGTTTAATTTGAGAATACATTGCTTCTAGATGAATCTAGTATGTTGACCTTATGTAATGAATTAATCTCAGTAGCTACCAAATGGCTACAACACACATAGCATATTACACAACTCAGATAATTTGCATCAGCCTTGTTCTGAGTTGGCGATCTGTAGAAGTGAAACATAGTCTTCTGACTCTTCACTGCTTGGAATCTCCCCTGAACCTTAAACAATTACTTTTGTTCCTTTCTGGAGTCTTTAAAGCTTTTAAAATACAACGTGTCTATAGACAATGTCAGTATATTTTAGTCTGATTATATATTCTCCTCTAATGGTAAGATGTTTGGACAAAGCATTTCAATTTGTTGAATAGGTGGCTCCTAAGGAAGTTTGGAAACACTGTCTATTTTCTTAATTATTGCATAAAAAATTGTTGGAGCTTTTAAAATTTAGTAACTTTTGTCAAGTCATGGGAGTTCCCCACAGATAACTGTACTTTCTTTTTTTTTTTTTGTCAGTTCCACTATATTGAAAGTTAGATAATATATTTTTTTCCGATTAGTTTTCTGTCTCATAAATGCAAATATGAACAAACCAAATGAAAAGAAGGAAAAATTGTAAGATTTGTTGGGGTGATGTTCTAAGGTTTTAAATAAAAGCCTTGCCTTCCATAATGTTAAGAACTGTTGCTTTCGCAGGCTCCAAATCAAAATAAAAACTGCAGTTCTTAGTTTGATAAGAATCTAGTTTAAAAAAAAACAACAACAAAAAAACTTTTTACCTTGAAAATATTATTTACTGCTGAAAAAATACAGTAGAAATCAAAATTATCCTAGTATAACTGACTTGTAAAAACCTTATACTGCTTGCACTGCAGCTATCTGTGCCTTGTAGTGTTTTATAAGATGGAATAAAGGATGTTTATTTCCATAGCATGGCAAAATGTATTTGAATTCTTAAAGCTACGTTCATCTCACAATCAGAAATGCAGAGTAATTTATAGTTGCATGCTGCAATCTCCAAAGCCTTTGGCATTTTGATTGTCTAGATGATACTAGTTGAATTTAGAGTCTATTTTTCTGCATTTTTCTTGAGGTACTGTAATTACTATTCCAGTGTCAATTTTTTTATTTGTTTGCTTGTTTTGGTGAACTGGCATGTTACCATTTTAAGTTCTGAATGGCTGATGTAGGTTTGGCAGATTTTTACTTGTATGCCAATACTTCTTTACTGACCACTGTTTTATTTGTTAACTTGTTCATCGAGCTTTTGGGAGTACAAATAGGTTATCTGAGTTGAGTAGTACATGTAGTATAGTATTTATATGCAGAAATTTTTACCACAACTTAGCAATAACTTACATTCATTAAACAGTTTAATTGGAAGAATAAATAGCCAACCATGCTATTTTCATATATATGACAGTCTTTACACTGCTGGGATTCTGTACCATAATATGGTGTTTAAAAGCACAAATTAAAACGTGAGGACAGCAAGAAAATACTTTTGATCAAAATACTTTGGATTCTTTTACGCGCTTTCGTAGAAACTTACGAGCATTTTATAAAATCTTGTCAGCTAACAGAATTGATATGTTTAATTTGTTAGTGCTTTTACATTGTTCATTTATTCTAAGAATACAAATGGTATGAGAGAAATACTTTGGATGCTACACGATATTTTGAAGTAAAAAAGAATACTTACAGTTGTTTCTGACTCAGCATTGTGCTTTGCAAGTGTTTTCTTATGTTAATATTATTGTCAGTGAATGTTAAATTCATGGTATCTCTGTTATATGTCTTATATATACCACCTTTCTGCCCTATTTTATGACTAGTACAGCGCCACAGACTGCCCTGTGCTCTGCATGTTAATAAAATTACATCATTAAATGTGCACAATGTATGAAAGATTAGCTACAGAAATGTACTGCTGGGCGGTCTAAAAATACATTTGCTGACTCGTCATTGTGTGCTTTTTTTGTATCCAAATTAACCATACCATTATACATTCTTTTAAAGGCCATGAGTTGCTATCTGAGCTACAACAGCGTCGATTTAATGGTTCAGATGGAGGAGTATCATGGTCTCCAATGGATGATGAACTACTTGCTCAGCCACAAGTCATGAAGCTACTAGACTCACTCCGAGAGCAATATACCCGCTACCAGGAAGTTTGTAGACAACGTAGCAAGAGAACTCAACTAGAGGAGATTCAGCAGAAGGTAATGCAGGTAAGGACGAAGTTGTTCTTGAATAAGATGGGGAAGAAGGCTTGAGCTCAAATCCCAGACTGTGTTCTCTGCAAAACTAAGAATCAAATGAGGAGCTTCTTGCTATTCTTCGTGATTTTTTTCACTCCAGAAACTGCAGCATGCTAGTTTGACCGGATGCTTTATATTTTGGCTACTAGGAGGGACTTTCTAAAGATTCCTCTGATACATGGAGGGGGTAAGAATGCAGAGCTCAGCTCAACCTGCTTTCACCCCCACACTGAATAACCTTCACATTGTCCCGTTGTTGTCTACTATGGCAATGTACTCTTACGTTGTTAGAGGGTAGAAACCTGACATGTTAGCAAAAGAAAGAACGTTAACAAATGAGACAGTTGACTGTAGTTTTGCTTAAGAGTTGGAAAACTTCCCTGACACATTGGCTGTTACTGTTACCTAAAGTTACTGAAAGTTCCAGTTACTGAAGGTAAGCCATGATTCCTTTACTTGTCTAACACTGTATTTTGAGGTTACTCTGACCAGAATGAACAGAAATCATCCTAATCAATTGTGTTAAAGGTCATAATGAATTGATCTGGTCCTTTGGAAACAGGCTTGTAATTGGCACTTCCAATATTTTATCATCATAGTCTTAGTAGAGATAAATTAATTCAATTTCTTTGATTATTTCTCAAGTGTTCGTTACTTGAAATTAGATTTATATGTTTTTAAGTTTCTGTGAAGCTTGACTATGGAGAAAATTGAATAATGCTTTTAACCTTTACACACTGACATTTCTAAAGCACGGCGAGTGCAAATCAAGTGCTGACACTTCAGTGTTCCAGGTATGGGAAGATAAAAACTAATCAATCTTGTTTTTATTTCTAGGAGTAAAAATATTAACCTACTGAGAGGAATCTTTTTCACTTGTGTAGTCATTCAGATAATAAAAAATTTTTTAAAAAAAGCGAACTTCTGATATTTTTGCGTTGGAAATTCAAAAAATATATGCAAAGGTTTCACCCTTCGTACTGTATAGAACACATTAGCATGGCAGTGTATGCATGTATAATGGGGTGATGAGAATTTTATTCCCTGTGGTAAAGTTATAGTGGCTGAACAAGATGTGCTGATTGAAAAAAGAAATTTATAACTAGCTTGGCCAACTGCCATTGTTAATGCATTTAAATAACTTGTTTACTGTGGCATCAGCCTCATTTTGCAATATTTTTATTAGAAATAGTCTTTTCTTTGCTCTGTCTACAGTACGGATGCTGCATAATAAGTGAACTGAGTCTCAGCAAGAATGTGCTTTAATATTTTACTGAATTAATCTATTTTATAAAGTGCATTTTAAAGCTTTCTAAATGCTATACAAACAAAAAATTACTAAATCTATAAACTGATGCAGTTTCTTTTTGGCTTGTGGGGAAAAATTGATCTAATGGAGAAAAGTAAAGAAGGTAATGATGGACTGTTGGAGATAAACTGAAGTGGAATTTATTTTGTCAAAACAAACAACTTATGGTATAACATGCAGTATTTTCAGTTGGAATGAGTGTGTGCAGAGAAAAGTTACTTGCTGTGTTGCTAATTTTTTCTGTTTTGATTTCCTGTTATTTTCATTGCAATTGCATCTCTAGTCATTAACATATGTTTTACAAAAATAACATTGCTGCCTTCCTCCAGCTCCTTTGGTGACTTTTCTCAGATCAAATATTTTTCACACAAGGAAAAATCAAGAACAGTAGGGGCTTAATATGACAACCGAGGGTTACTAGAAGTGATAAAAGTAGGGAAACCCCAGGATGCTTTTGGAACAAATATGGTGTGTTCTGAAATGGTGCTGCTTATAGGAAGGAGGCTGGGGGGGAAACCACAGACATAATGACTAAACATGAAGTGAATTGAGTTACCTTCGGTATGGATAATGGCATTTCTTTCCTACTGTTACAAAGTGGCCTAGCAGCACTAGAAAAATTGCCCGGTTGTCTCCTGAGTGTGTTTCATTTTTCTTTATAGTTACAGTGTTGCACTGTTACTGTATTTTTCCTGAAAAACTTTGGAGCTGTTCTGTTGTCTTTGTTTAAACAAAAGATGCAGTAAAAATTCATAGAATCATGGAATCATTAAAGCTGGAAAAGACCACCAAGGTCATCTGGTCCAACCATCCTCCTTCCACTAACATTACCCACTAAACCATGTCCCTAAATGCCACATCCAACCTTTGCTTAAAGACCCCCAGGGACGGTGACTCCAACACCTCCCTGGGCAACCCATTCCAAAGCCTAACCAAAGAAGCTGGCTTCCGATGTTCTTTCATTAAAGTTCAAAATATGAGGGTATTCATAGATTTCAGTAGGATAGAGGACTCAGTAAGAGTCCTGAAGTAAGTCTCTGTAAGAGATTTTCTTTAGGTTTCATTATGGCTGTATACATCCTGGAAATTTAAAGCTTTATTTTCCCTTAAGGTATAATCTGGTAATTCAGATGTGTATAAATTGAGATGCTCTGCTTTAATTTAAATAATAGCAAAAATGAGAATAGTTTTTAATAATAATAAAATCTCATGTCATAATCCAAAACTATCACCAGGACCCTGCAGAGTTCTGCCAGGGCAGATCCAATAAGATGATGCCATTAAAACTCTGTAAGAGGCTTCTGTAGTTTGAATGGAGCAAGTTGAACAAAATAAACATATAAAATACTAAAGGTATAAATTTTAATTTTGGAATAAATACATATAATGTACTTGTGTGTTAAGATATTCAACAAAACAGAGAGAAAACTCTCAGATGTGAGGTTGAATACAGCTGTACATTGTAATTCAGTTAAAAAAAAAAAAAAGTCTTGTTTAAGTGTCCTTATCAAAAGAATCATGTTTTAACTTGTTATAGACAGATACAAAGTGACACCAATCTTTGCTAGATCCCACCTGCATTTATGGAGATGACAGGCTAAGGTTAATGAAAAGTAACTCCTACATAATGCTTTTGAAGATATGAATGGATTGAACAAGATAACTTCCATAGATTATATATTTCTGCTTATGTTAGAATTATTTTTATCCCAGTTTTCATGTAATTGATCTGCTGTTTTATTCTTTGTCATCTTTATCTTGTTTACAGGTAGTCAATTGGCTTGAAGGACCTGGATCAGAACAGCTAAGGACCCAGTGGGGAATAGGTGACTCAATTAGAGCTTCACAAGCATTGCAACAGAAGCATGAAGAGATTGAGAGTCAGCACAGTGTGAGAATTCCACTGTCCTTTTCAAGTAGCAAAACAGTTTTAAGTGCTTGTCGTTACATGCAATGTTTTTTGGTTAGAGTACCTAGAAATTTAGTGAATGATCTTATGGTTTACTATCTAAGCAATGTAGGAACTTATGTTCACTGTATGTAGATGTTATTTATTTTCTTTTCCAGTGTGGAAAAATAATGATTTCTATTCATGTTTTTATTTTATTTTATTTTATTATGGTAGAGCATTTTTTTAAGGTTTCATATAGAACAGGTGGAGTGAATTTTTTTTTTCCTCCCTGCCTCTGGTTGGGCAGGCAAGGGTTGAAAAATCCTATACTTCTTGGGTGAATAAGTTAACAATTTTCTTTATTAAACTACGTTTACCAGAAGCTGAAACTGGCTTAATGCTTTCATTGATCAAGATTTAAAATATACCTTTTGCTCATCATGAAATATTTAAGAGACTGTTTTGTAGGTGTACTGAATGTCTTTGCTTCTAAGTTCCAAGGCTGCCTAAGGTTCAGTGATTTTTTTCCATATATTATTAATAATTATAATTTATTATTAAACTTTAATAATTTAATAATAATAATTTATTATTGAACCAGGATGTGAATTTTCAGTGTTCTCAAAAGGCAACTCACCCACAGTGGATTTCCTCTTGTCTGACTTTTTGAATGTAGCCACTGAAAACTAAGCCCACTTTTCCGAAGTTCCCTTTACAGCTGTGGAATAAAAAATCACGGTTGGACTACAGCTTTTCCAATTTAGAGGAGAATAAAAAAAGCACACAGTAGTCTGAGAAACTGTGCCCTAGACTACATTGCTTCTGTTGGCTACGTCCTTTACTATGCTTTTGTTGCTCAGATGAAGGTGCATTGTAGGTATTCGTCTGTTTTGGTCAAGTGATCTCATCTCCTTTGTGTTTTCAGTGCTTTAAGCTCTTTGAGCAATGTTCTATGTTGAAAAACAGTATCTTCTGAAGTTTAAACCATCTTATACTTAGAATCCTAATTTGAAAAAAAAAAATCCACTGCATTCTTTATTGACAAAAGTAATTGTGAAAACCTTTTAAACATACTAGCACTTCAGACTAACAAGTTAGTGTAGACTTTGTTCTCACTGTCTGTAGCATAGAGAACTATGCTTTAGCTGTGGCTAAATACAGTCTTTGAAGTCAGTGAAATCCCAGTGAAGTTTACAGTATGACCTACAGCTTGCTCATCACTGTAAGGCACAGAAAATGCCAAATATTTCCTGGTTCTCTTGTTGTGGCAGGATTTTGTAGAAACAGAAAAGTTATTTTCCATTTTTATACCAACAGTAATTATTAGGATTTCCGTTTATAAATTCAAACAATTTTTTGAAAACAGCAATGGAATGTGGTTGGCCTTTTTCTCTCATTTCTAAGCATCTCACAATAGCTGAGTATTTTCTCTCCTAAAATTGATTTGACAGCTTGTTTTCTTTTTCGTTCATCTCTCTCATTTATTGCTGATTATATTGCTTGTATGTTAAAGACAATTCCAAAGATGCAAACAAGATTTGTTATCTTGTTAGACTTGTTATCAAAGTAGCCTTTTTTGCTTCAGTTTACTTTGAAAGTGGGAAAAAAAAAAAGGTATTTGTTTGTTATGTTTGGGGGTATCCCCATTTCCTGCCTGTTTTATTGATGGGCTCTATACTTGAGCTGTTATTTTTGTATGAGTGATGGCCTTTTTTTACATGGTTGAGGTGTCATGAACATCTTCGATATGTCCCTAGTGGAAAATAGGAGAAATACACATTTTATGTTTATTTTATATTATATTTTATTTTGTATCCATTTTAATTATATTATAAATATTATATAATTATAAGTATTTTATAATTATTAATTATTATAAACCATATTGTATGGTTTACCAGTCTCTTAATTGCACTGATAGCTTACTGAAAATCAATTACTGCAAACATTTTACTTTCTTTAATGATGAAAATAAATTGTTGACCTAGATTTTTTGTTTGACTTGCAATGCTATGTTTGATTTGTCATGCTTGGTAAGCTTGATTTGTACGTTCAATATCTAAAGGTAATAACAGGTGTTGTGTAAACTGAGTTAATGAGCTTGTGTATCTATGTATCTATAGCACAAGTGTGATGATGGAAGATTTTTCACTAGCTGGCTCTTTTGGGGTAGATGAAAGATTTATTCTGCTCTTAAAATTTTGGTTGATTGCTAATTTAACTTTTTTGTGACTTTTTTTTTCCTAATTGCATCTTATATTCTTTCTTCCTGTGAGCAGATGGTAGAGAAAGCTTTGGGTAAAAAAAAAAAAAAAAAAAACAACAAGAACATGAATATTTATATTCTGTATTTTACATGCTTTGTAAATAAATGAAGCAAAAGCTGAAGGCATAACTTTAAAAAAAAAAAAAAAAAAAAGACAAACATCCTCACTGGAGATTGACAAGAATACTAATTCATTCAGATATTTTAGGCCAATAGATGGTGCTGTTCAATGTTGTTAGAAATACATAGGGCATTTGAATGTCATTTTACTGTTGGCTAAAATAAAAGCTTCCAGGCAAATGTTTTATTTTTCAGGCATCTAAATAATGCAAGATGCATTATAATTATTATAATGCATGTGATCTTGACATATCAAGTGATTTTTAAATCTCCCGGAATTGTTAAATATTTGAAGTACTTTCTTTTGCAAATATACCACCATGACAACATTAACTCCTGTATATGCATTCAGTAATCATAGCACTTGAAAATGAAGTTTTCAAGTTTTCTGCGCATTTTGAATTGAGTAGTATAAAGCTTTCCTTAAATAAGGAAGAAGGGTCATTTGGAAGTTCCAATATACAGAAAGCCCAATATATTTAAAAGATGATGATTACTTTCACTTTGTGAACAGTAGTAGTTTTTTTTCTAAAGGTTTAGGAAAATTACTGCTGGTTTCAGTTGTGTCACTGAAAGTAACATCTAGATAGTCTTTTGAACACCCTTTGGAATGCTTTACTACTTGTCAAAAATTGCTTTATTCAATAAAGCACTATAGACATGTAAGTATTAGAAGTTTGTTTAAAAATGGTGGAATTCTTCTGTTGGTTCAGTAAAGTAGTTCGAGTGGGAGTTTGTGCTGGGAGATAGTAATTATGCTGCTTATGGTTTGTTATCTTCCCATCTTTCTACACCATTTTTTTTATATTGCAGTATATGTGTTATTTAAAATGTGCTAAGCACTTTTTGAGTTGATTTAAAACTACAAAAGTTCTCCTCTCCTGTGAGATTTCATAATTATAGTGTAAGCTGTAATAAAATCATTTTAAAATCTGATTATTTATTAATCTGGAGTTAAGATGCATGCCATATTAAGAGAAAAATGTTTGGTATTATTTTAATAGTATTTTTTGTGTCTGTAGGAGTGGTTTGCTGTTTATGTTGAGCTTAATCAGCAGATTGCAGCTCTTCTAAATGCAGGGGATGAGGAGGACCTTGTGGAATTAAAAGCATTACAGCAACAGCTGAGTGATGTGTGTTACCGGCAGGCCAGTCAGCTGGAATTCAGGCAGAATCTATTACAAGCAGCACTTGAATTTCACAGTGTTGCCCAAGATGTAAGTTGTTCTTCCTAACTTTTCACGGGTTCACCTGCCAATGTGTTATTACTGTATTATTGTAAGCTTTCAGTTCATTGGAAAAGATTTAAGGAGGGAAGACAGAATGTCACTTGGAAAATGCCCTCAGTCTTCATTTACTGATTGAAACACTGGGAAGATGAATTTTTGGGAGAAAAGTTCATTGCAATATATCTTACATTTCAATAGCATTTGAAACGGAATGGCTAGTAAATAAAAAAAATCACAGAATCACAGAATTTCTAGGTTGGAAGAGACCTCAAGATCATCGAGTCCAACCTCTAACCTAACACTAACAGTCGCCACTAAACCATATCCCTAAGCTCTACATCTAAACGTCTTTTGAAGACTTCCAGGGATGGTGACTCCACCACCCACAAAAAATATATAGTTTTGCTCTTGCTTTTTTATTAGAATCATGTGCGTTACCCATACCACGATGATATCTTTTTATTTTAAAGATTATTGGATATACACTTCTTAGTTCCTTTTAAGAATTGTTTATTCCTTTTCTGTATTTGTTTAAAGAATCTTGGCTTTTTTTCCCCCACCTAGGGATGTATGCTTATAAGCAGGTGGGACATTTATCTCTCATCTTGAATTGATTTCCTAAAGATGTGAAAAGACACATATGAAATTACAGATTCCTAAACATTTAGGAAATAGATTGCAGACCCAAGCATCTCAAGCTCCAAACTTCTTTTTAAACAGCGATACTTGTTTTTTGTTTTAGTTGTCTCAGCAATTGGATGGCTTACTAGGAATGTTGTGTGTAGATGTAGCACCAGCAGATGGAGCATCGATTCAACAAACTTTAAAACTACTGGAAGAGAAATTGAAAAGCGTTGGTAAGCATAATATTTCTGCATTTCAGACTGATGCATTCTAATGAATGCATTATAGGAAAAAAGTGTCCTTGCTCCCCAAATGCCGTTTGAAAAGGACAGCAGATAAAGGAGTATCTGTCTCTTCAGATTTCTAGCTAAGTAAAGTTCCACCTAACTACCTTTGACTTGCTGGTGCTATCTAGTCTGGGGAAGTGTTCTGGAGTTGTCTTTTAAATGTTTTACTAATTAATTTACCGATTTACTAATTAATTTACTAATTTAATAATTAATTTACTAATTTACTAATTTATGTATTGGTTATATACCATTACTATGCATTTCATCTGTTAACAGACTTTTTCCCACTAATCATTCTTAATACCTTGAGAATATAGTGCTTAAATTGTTCCCTTCTTTTTGTTCCAAGAACTGACCTTTAATGACTAAGATTGTCTTTCACTTGGTTTTAGAATGTTTGTTTCTAACAAGTGTTTTGGAATGTGTATGTTAATAAACGCAACGCTTAAGCTTGTTACACTGTCAAGCTTATGTGGAAGAAGAATTGTAAAGCAAAATTGCATGTGGTAGAAATAATCATTCTTAGACTGTAACAGTGACTTATACGTGAAACAGATATTCCTTTAGGAGAATGAAGAGTAGACCTGCCAAATATAAATGCGATAGCAGATTGTAACTGTTAGCATATTTCAGTATTGAGAAATGTATCAACCATATCAGATGCATTATAAAATACTAACTTCTGCCATGGTGGAGCGTTTAGGTTACAACTGCCTAGCAGTGATGAACATTAGAGGTATTCTGAAACTGTGTGGATGAAAGATGTTAATTAGCTTTTTGTGTGCTGAAAATTTAACACTCACTGTCAGCTTTTATTCCTTTTCTTTTTATCTGCTAGATCATAAAATAGCAAAGACTTAGCTCTTTGTTCATCTGGAAGAATACTTGTGCAAACTTAGAAATTGGAAAGGGTAGAGAAATAGATGTAGTAACGTCCTTTTCACTTTCCAGCCACCCATCTCAGAGTTTCTATTTAATTTCTTCTCTTGACTTGAGGAAAAAAAAGCACAAATGAGAAAGTTAAATTTTTGTTTTTTACTTTTTCTGTTTTCTTTTTTTTTCTTTAGACTTAGGCCTGCAAGGCTTGCGTGAGAAAGGTCAAAGTCTTCTTGATCAGATATCTAATCAGGCATCCTGGGCGTATGGAAAAGATGTGACTATTGAAAACAAAGAAAATGTGGACCACATCCAAGGAGTGATGGAAGATATGCAACTTAGAAAACAAAGGTAATAACAGTCATAGTCACTAAGATTTTCATAAGCCATCTTAAAATACCTCTTTTTAAAAAGTCATCCTTAAAAAATCTCTTTTTAGAGAGACCATTTTGCTTTTTTTTCAGTGAAGAGATCTATTACAATTCATAATTCATAATATATTCATAATATATTTTTTAAAAAGACAAGTTTCCATGTCTGGTCTACTGGAGCGTATTCCTAAATCCAGGCACCTTGGCATTTCAGTATTTGTTGGGAGAATTTGAATACTTTCCTATGCTTGTTCCTTTTATATGCAGTTATGGAACAGATGCAGGAGATCTTCTAAACATTATCTGTTTGAGATAATAACACCAATATACCAATACTACAGTAGTGATCGTGGCTCTAAAAGTATGCACTGGTAATGTTCCAAATTTTCTACTTTCCTTCTCCAACCTCTACCCTTTTAGCTCTGTCCCCCCTGACCAGCAAAAGGGGAGGCACAGAGTTCAGCTTTGAAAACATGTTCGGTGTTTTATGTAAGTTTAAAAAAAAAAAAAAAAAAAAAACTTACATAAAAAGTTTTTTTAAAAAAAACTTACATAAAAACTTATGTAAGTTTTGGAAAAACTTACATAGGGTGGGGGATGAAATTTTAGCAGAGGAAAATACTGGGGAGAACTGTGAGAAGGATGGATTTTTCCACCCCTCACTTCATCCAAACTTTCCATTGATATATAATAATACTGTGGATTGGCTATATTACTGCCTTCTGCTCTATCTCCAGTCTGAGAGAATCAGATGATGATGCTCATCATTTCTGTTGTAACATCTGAGACAATGAAGTACTCTCCATAGAAAGTGCCTGAACTTTGTGGATGATGGTTGAACAAAAAGGGGCAGCTAGGGAGCAATAAGGTTTAATGCATGTCAAGTTGCTCATTTTAGGAATGACTTCTAAATACAAATTGTTTTCTTAGGGAACTCAGTGTAAGGAACCACATAGTTTGATATCACTTAAAGAACATCCTGTCTTAAGTATGTCCCCTGAATCCTGTTTACTTGCGTAGTACTGTTGTTTAGAGGGCCAACTGCACAAAGTTTTAGAGGACCATGCGTCACTGCAGTAAAACAGCACTTGGAATTCAGAAGTAAGAAAAGAAAAGTACATAGGAAAGGGAAAAACTTGATATATGTAGTGATGAACTCTGAACTAGCTGCTACTTCCAAAGATCAAAGTTGGAGAAGTTTTTTCAAAGAAGTGTTTTGTCATACTGTGAGAAGCAAGTAGAATGCTAAGTATTATTAGGAAAGGAGTTGAAAACTAAAAAGAAAACATCTTGGTGCCGCTGTATAGGTGTGTGGTGCATTTGTGTTTGAAGCATTCCATAATTCTTGTCCCTCTCCTCAGAAGGGATATAGAAATGTAGCAAGTCAGAGGACAAAAAAAAAAAAGGCAATAAAATGCTCAGACAAAGGTATGAAACGGTTTTCAGATAATAAATGATTAAACTGAGTATCTTCAGCCTGGAAGGGAGACAAAAAGTAAGATAAAGGTCTGCAAGAAAGAGTGAGCCAAGGAAAAGATAGGGATAGGTTTTGTTTTTTTTTTTCATTGCCTCTTTCTGTACAAAAGCTGAAGACATCAAATGGAACTGGCTTAAACACTGAAAATTAAAGCTGGTAATTAGGTATGTAAATAAGGTGTGGAACTCTTTGCCACAAGATTGTTTAAGCTTAACTAGTTTCAGGAAGAGTTTGGACAAATTGTGGGAGGATACACATATCAAAGATCTTTAAATACAGATGCAACCTGTGCCTCAAAGTCAGTGGACTAGAATTGCTGGAAGCAAGCACATTTGCATTACTGTAAAATATTGCTGTATACTTAATCTGTTTGGATGCTCTTTCCTAAGCATCTGTTATGCCTATATGCTTAAATAGGTCTTTAAATGCTGCCTCAGCTCTCTAAGTCAGTTAAAGTCAGACATTACATGCCTGTAATTCTTACAGTTGTATGAAGTGATTTGTGAATCCCTAGGTTGAGAAGAAAGTCCTGTGCATTGATATTTATGAGAGAGCAGATAAAGGCAGCAACTATTTAGATGATGTACTTCTTGATTAAAACGTTGAAGGACACTGTTTTAGCTCACATTTTCTCTGTTTCAGTCTTTCTACTTTAGCTTCAGCAAAGATCTTATAACCTCATGAATGTGTTCAACTTGACAAGGTTTCTAAACTAGCAGGAACTTTCATTCTGGCACATTCTGAATCTGACTTAATTGTCAGTATCCATAATCGTAACCCAGTTGCCCTAGATTAACCATAGCTTCTTGCACCTGTTGTAGTGATTGTTGGAACTTTTCTTGGTTTTGTGTTCAGTTTGTGAACTAGATTTTTTTATGTAATATTCCAGTATATCAAGTGAAACTAAATGAAATTCAAATCAAGACTGAATAGAATCTGTATATTTTATTAGTTTTATTAGTGTAGTATCCTTCAGATGGTGAAAAGAAATGGGAGTTAGAATTTTAGAATGGGAAATTAAGTTTTTATTAGGTTTATGTAACTAAACAGCATAGCTTATTCCAGCTAACAAGATAAGCTTAACCAGGCGTGTAATACATCTTATCACAACACCAGAGGTTTCTTGGTTAAGTACATACAAGAGAGCAGGGTTTAGCAGTAGTCTTTTCTCATCAAAAAGATGTTTGTAGAGAGAAATAGAAAATAAGTGGTTGGGAAATTAATGTAATTTATTTCTGCCTTCTGACATTTGTTTGCAAAAGAATCAGACTTAACTTAGACTGAAAATAAAATTCTTTTTTTTATAACTTTTATTAATTTAATTACCAAATTGTCATTGTCCGATGAAAAATACAGAAGGGTACTTTTAGAAAGTACAGAATACATAGTGTTCAGCGGTATTTTTTTGATGTTTAATTTTCCTCAAATTCAGTGGAATGTTTCTTGCTTACATATACATACAAGTAGTGTAATGTGTATTTCTAGGGACATTTTTCTGCCTTATTTATGCTTTCAGAACACACAAACTCTTTCCTTGCATTATTAGAGCAATAAATTTCCTTTCTGTAAGCATTACAGCACTGCAAAGCACTTAACAAAAACACAGGATTATAAGGAACTGTTCTTTGGAAGTGCTTATGTGTTTGCAACCAGTTTGAAAAAGAGATGTGCATGCGGTCTTTAGCATTTGCTTATAGTGCTAACTGTTGTTGACACTAGTCATTTGGCTTGCTGTGTGAGACAGGAGTCTGAATTTTGCTGTTTACTTAGGCTCTGAAATTGAAGCAGAAAGGTCATTCTGCTAAATGTTTTAACGTTTAGCTCTCACAGTTAAAGGAAAATGGGTTTCAATACTTGTTAATTCTGGCTACACAAAACTGCAAAATGTTCTTAATTCAGAGCAAGAGAATTGGAATTAGTTTTTATATGAATTAGAATCGTAAGGGTTCAACTGCTGCAATCTTTAGCTTAAAAAAAAAAGTATACTGTGATTTTAAACAGTTTACGTTTTATTCACCAATAAAGCTTTGTCACCAGCTGACAGAACGAATCGCAATTATGGCAGGTTCAAGACAGCTTTTGCCTAAATATTTCAGCAGAAAAAGTCTGTCTTAGCCATGAAAGCCTCTGGCCTGCAAATCACACCAGTGCAACAGCGTAAGGAATCTGAAATGCAGCTGGAAGGTCATCTATCTACTACTGGCACTACTTTCTGTAGCATAACCATGTCTAGACTCTTTAAGATTATGATGTCTGTGGGTTGTAGTGCTCAGTTCTTTTTATTGCTTACTTGTTTCTTCTTATTATGGCAGGCAGTATTAATTTTGATCATTCTAAGCAGCACAAGAATGCTTTGGTCACCTTTCCATGGACACTTGCATTTTAATGTTGCTCCTTGAAAACATTATTGTCAAACTCAGAGTGTATTTTGTCTACTATGTATGTATGTGCTACTGTTAAAGGTGTGAGGATATGGTAGATGTGCGACGACTGAAGATGCTTCAGATGGTACAATTATTTAAATGTGAAGAAGATGCCGCTCAGGTATGGAAATGGCTACAGAATTTCATCATTCTGGTCTTTGTAATCCTCTAGCTAAATTTAGGGGGGATTGATAGTTGTACAGCATTATTTTTTGTCGCTTTCAGATGCTTTATCTAATGAATTTCTACGGTGAAAATAAAGGATATGGCAGTGACTGAAAATAGTGGTTTGAGGGATTTCATGCACCGTCTACTAGTTTAACTGATACCTTAACTTTTTCCAAATCAAAAGTATACACTAGTGTTGTAGTTAATTCACCCTGCTGGATGAATGTCATTTTAATTTCCTAGCTTTTATTCTTCTAATTTTTTTATATGTATTTTTAAGGCAGTAGAATGGTTAAGTGAACTGTTGGATGCTCTGCTGAAGACACATATCCGACTGGGAGATGATTCACAAGAAACAAAAGTTTTGCTGGAGAAACATCGAAAATTTGTTGATGTTGCACAGGTAAAATGAACTACCTGTAGCAGTAGTATGGGTTTGGTACAGTTTCAGAAAATGTCTTAAATAGGATTGCCATCTATATGTGCAGTAATAGAAGAGCTGTTCCTCGTTTTCATGTTTTGTCTTAATGCTTGAACAAATAAATCATGATTCCTGAAATAGTTATGAATCTAATGAGATTTTGAAGTGAAGATTTTGGTGATCCATCACCAGTAGTGATGCTGCAGTTCTACTACAGCAGTTTACTGGCTATGCACAGGCAGTACAAACCACAGAACTTGAATTTCACATTGACCTTTTAAAAGTGTGTATTTTAAACAGCTTTGTAATGATTTTTGAAGGACTCCTAACAAAATAATGAAATGTTGGTGAGCAACATAATTTCAGTCTATTTTGTGCTGTACTTCATGAAATGGAGACTGATTTTCCAGGTAGTTTATTATTGGTTTATGATAGTCCTGCTCAAGGAATATCTGTTTGGTAAGTTTAGATCAGCTGTCCTGGTAATGTTCCCTCCCCAACTCTTGCCAGCCTCTAGCCTACTGGCTTTGGGGGGCTTTGGAGGGAATCCTGGTGCTGTGCCAGCACCAGACAGCAATAGACAAAATAGCTAGCAATAGACAAAACACTGGTGTGATACCAGTGTTGCAGCTCCAAGTGCAGAGCACAGCACTGTATGGGCTGCTGCAGGAAAAATGAATTCCATCCCAGCCAGACCCAGTACCCAGGTACATGTGAATTTCACCTAAAAGTAGAATATGTAAAAGCTATGCCTTTTTTATGTGCCATTTTAGATATATACTGTTTTCAGGAATGTCTAAATCACTGTTGCTAATTAACAGATGTAATATTTTGCAGTTACACCAGTTACACTAGAACTGATACTCTCTTTTGGTGAATGGAGACTATGTAAGGAGGAACTAGAGGAATTAGAACTAGAGGAATTAGAACTGACCATGACAAGGGGATAGCTTGTTGTCATAATTGTGTGCTACAAAGCACCTCGATGCTGTGTGACCAGAAACATGGTGATGGTGGTATCAGTGAGACGGTCATCTTGGCAGTAGATACCAAGCATACAGTGCAAAATACAAGCAGCTATTCTCTGTTTTCCAGAAGGTCTGCCCTTTTGCCTAGACACTGATATTTTTTCATTATTTTCTGGGGAGCATATTTTTATAGAACAAAGAACTGTTTGTGGTCATGACAATTTTATGCATGCTTCAGCAGCATTTTCTAGTAGACCGGATTTGTTCAATGTACTCCGTGGATCTAAGTTGAGGTTTCACAAATGTGTCTGCTGTCATTTTAAGATAACTTGCTCTTAAGTTAAATGCAGAGTTCTTATGTGTATCTTCCTGTCCTCCAACTTTTAGAGTACTTATGATTATGGAAGACAGTTACTACAGGCAACTGTTGTGCTGTGCCAGTCCCTACGATGCACTTCAAGGTCCTCAGGGGACACACTTCCAAGATTGAACAGAGTGTGGAAACAGTTTACATTAACTTCTGAAGAAAGAGTACAGAGGCTGGAAACGGCTGTTGCATTTCATTCAAGTGCTGAAAAGGTGAGTTGTTTTTGAGAAAAAAATCTATCTGAATTTAAGGAAAAATATAAGAAAAATGAAGTTCTCAGCATTTAAAACAACTTTTTTTTTTTTTAACTCCCTAAATATAAAAATAAAAGATTTAGAATCTTTTATTAGTTAACTTCAGTACTTAAGGAAAAAAAAAAAAAGCCAACCTAAGACATGGTAAAAGAAAAAAATTCAGTCTGTCATTGAAGGAAGGCATGGGCTACAAAGCAGGTTGGTATGCTCCTTGCTTGTATTCATTTCTTGTTTGTATAAATGGAAGATGTTTTGGATCCATAGGCATTGGGAGTTGCTGGTGATTCATGAAAGCAGAAGTATATCATCTGTGCTGCCACAGATGGCTGGAAAAAGTTTTACCTGATATCAAATTAGAATTCAGTGGTTCGTAAACTTAAAGTTATCTCAGCCCATATTATGGATGTTCTTTCATTATTTCAATAGTTTAATTGCCTGACAATATAGCAATTAAAGTAAAAGCAAGTAAGTGGATGGCTGAAAAAAAATAATCTGTTCATAAGCATGATTTTTCTAGCATTGTTGTGGCATTATTAATGAGACTGATGAAATTAAGCTGCTAATGCCTATGCTTCATAGGAAAAAATAGGAAGTGTCAGAGGGAAAAGTGGAAGAAAATATAGAATTAAGTACAAATATTGGGTTCCAATACAGTCTAGAGACTTATATTCATATTTTATAAACCAGTCTGAGTTTTCTGCCAGATACAGGTTTTTGTTTTGAAGCAGCTTGTAGCAGGCCCTTCAAAATTGTTTTTTTCCATTTTATGTGACTGTCTTGCAAGTCGCTTGATGCGGGCTACCATACCCACGCATTTTGAATTTGTTGTTGGAATGTTAGCTAGCAAGACTTACTTTTTTAGTTCTTTGTTCTCACTTAACAGTACCATAAAACATACCAGTACAGAATATTGGTAGCCCCAACCTATCTTCTTGCTCAGTGGTAGCTTAACTGATGTTTTTGTTCTGGAATTTTATAAATATTTTCATTGAGCTCATTTAAATGTGGCAGTGAAGATGCTGAAAGAACATTCACTCTGCCCTGTAATGGCACTTAATAAATAAATAAATTACATTCTATGCCTTGTCTACCTTATTATATTTTGGGGGCGGTTGTTTTTTATTACAGATACTGCAAGAATGTCCAGAGCAGCCTGAAGCTTTTAATGAAATGGAGCAATTTGATGAAATTGAAGCAGTTGGGAAATCGTTGTTGGACAGATTAACAGTGCCTGTAGTTTATCCCGACGGGTATGGAAAATATTATTGTAATGCCTTTTGAATATGTTTTCGGTAAATTTTCATAATGCTTTCAATATGCAGAAGAATCCTGAATGCTTATTGCTGAAAATAAAAAGATAATGCACTTATCCTCATTAATTTTTCCCATCTTTTCACAGAAAGCAGGCAGATCTGATTTCAGACTTTCCAAAGACATGTCCACTATTCTCACACAGTAATTGTTAGATATACGCAGTCATTATACCAGCAAAGTATTATGTAGAAGCAACAAAAGTGACCAGTCCCAGTGTCTTTCCCTGAAAAAAAAAACACATTTGAATTATGATATTTGATTTATTCAGACTTCTAGCCATCTAAAGACTTAAGCCAATACATTGAAGATATATTTACATTTGATTTATTCAGCTAATAAAACATTACTTCCCTCATGATCTACTCATACTAATTTAAAATTGGTGGTTGTATCAGGCTACAAAACAAAACTGAATTTGGAATTTCAACCACAATAACTATTCTGTTCAGCAAACTACAGTTGTCTGTTGCAATGCTGAGCTTGTGGTTAATTTCTTCCACCTTAGTGGAAGAAATTCCTCTAGTCCTGGAACTAGTCTCTGGGTATGTAAGAGCACACCGTAATGAATGGGATTTGAAATCTGTGTTTTGAGTACTTTGAAATGATATCAAGCAACTTCATTATAGGCTACTTGAAGTTGATCTGAAAAATAGTTAAAAGAAGGTGGTCATGAAAATTCGTTTTGTCATATTGCCAAAATATTGTGTTCCCTGTGTGCTGTAGTTTTCTTTGGCAAGGACTATTTAAAGGCAGACCAGCAGCTGAACTAGTAGTAGTTTGAATTCCTTTCCAGTAGTGTATTTGAACAAGTGGAGTATTTAACAGCTGTGAGAAAAGAAAAGCAAAGAAATGTGTTGTTTGAAGCATTTTGGTTTAACTTTCATATAGCAGTTGTAGATGTATGATAAATGACCTGGTAAATACAGTAACTTAAAACTGCTGTAATTTGCAGATAGACTACTCAAGTGTAAATGGTAATGTTACTGTTTCATTAAATTTGCATGGCACATGTTAGAACCTGGGAAAGCTCTCCATGAAAGAAGGCACTTACTGCACTTTGTGATTTGAGTTATAACAGAGTGCTCTTATAATTCTAGATGTATACAACTATGTATTAGTTTGACTAATCCTGAATATTACTTATGTCCTCTCTGGCATTTCAGATGGGTTCTGCTTGTCCCCCTTTTCAAAGATGGGTGGTATCTTAGCTGTCCCAGATCCCAAGATACCCTGCTGATCTGCCCACAGCATTCTATTTTTAAAGCTAAATATAAACGATTGCAAAGGGTTCAGCCATTAGTACAAATAGTTTTTAAAATGTAGGTATAATAAAAATGTCATAAAATGCCTGCAGGCATACTTCTTTAGTCATCAGCTTCCTCACCATTTTGGACTTAGGTCAGTGTCTTCTTGCAAGTCCAGGTCACTGTTCCCTGTCCTATTCATGGCTTTTAATCTGCATCAGACAAAATGTCTGCCCTCATTTGTGATCACATTTGCAGCTGTGCAGTCTGTTGTATTTGTGGATATCCCAAGTCAAACTAGTCAGCTTCCATATGAAATAACTTTTCTGTCTGCTTATGTCCATACCTCATTCAATCCCAAGTCCTTTGTCCTGCCACCATTTCCTCTATGCTTCATAATATTAGATTTGATACCTACTCTTCTGAAAGATTTCTTCTGTTCAAACCCTGGCTTTGCTGACAGCTCAGTTAGTGGTTTCCCTAACATTTCAGCTCTCTTTTGTTATATTTAAATAGGAGAAATCTGATTTAACAGCCGTATGTTCTTTACAATTTGAGAGAGAGATGATATGACTGTCAGCATGTGGCTGACTTTATATACAGAGTCCATCAATAAAGCAGCAATTGAATGACCTCAGTCAGAATTCATGTATAGACAGATTTCCTTGATTGTCATAGTATTCAAAATTGCAAGACTGGTTTGGAGAATGGAGGTGAAAATAGTGTTGGGAAGTCTCTAGTTGAGCTTACAGAACAGTGCCCTGCTGTTTAGAGAATATTTTGGATGTAAGAGGGTCATTTGCTATTTATAATAATTTCATCAGGATTGCCAGACAAGTCTCATCACTGCATTTACAAAACTTTTTAAAGGTGGCTTTTAAATTTCAAGACAAAAAGTGCCTATTTTTCTTATGTTTCTTGTTATATAGATTGTCATTCACATGTATATTTGCACAGTCTAACTTGTCACTGATTTTCTTTTTTGTCTTTTTTTTTTTTTTTTTTTAGTTCTGAGCAGTATTTCGGGAGCCCAAGTGATATGGCTTCTGCAGCAGAACACATTAGAGAGAAGATGAAGCTAGTTAGCCTGAAAAAGCAGCAACTGAGACAACCAGAAGTCGCTACCCCAGAGAGCTAATACTGACCCTTGTCTGTCAATTCGTAATAGGACTTCAGTTTGTAATCCAGCATGTTGTTTGCATATTACAGATTTTGGCATAATATATTAAAATGCATCTCACAGCCATTACGTCTCATCTTTTTTTTCAAAGTAAATGTTCTCAGCATCTTAACACTGTGCATCTATCAAGCCATAATTATTTAACATGCTATGAAACCATAGATTCCAAGTATCTTATGAAAAGGAACTGTAAACTTTGCACTGAAATTTGCTGTAAAGCTTTACCTGACCTGTCAGCTGCTTCTTAGTTAAACAGCTGATGCAAGCTTTGAATGGTGCTAATGAAAGTGTTAGGAGTTCCATATTACAAAATTGTAGTTCTTTGCTTCCCCCTATGCCCAGTTGATGTGGTAATTTTAGACTGTAGGTAAGGTACCTGCAGTGTAGACAGTGGTGACCCTATAATTTTAATTTGAAATACTTTAAAATAAGAGATTGTTTTTTTTATTGTGCCAGTATGCAACCTACCCATAAAATCTTTGATATATCAGATTCATTAAACAGATGTTTTCCTATTTGTATTGATAATGTATTAAAAGCTGTTTGTGCTTAATAAAAATCATCTTTTTAAAATCTAATAGAAATCTGTTCTGGCCTGTGTTTCCAAATGTTATTGCTATATTTTGTGATAAGTGGCAGTAAACACCCTCACTTCCCTAATATATTTATGCCTTGTTTTTGTTATAAACCACACTCTTTAACACTGTAGCTGTAAGAGGAACTGCTCTAAACGATTATTATACAGGAGTGAGACGCTGTGTCTTTTTTTTTCTGATAGTATCTTACCTTTGTATGAGTTCTTCTATGTGCCTAAGTCAGTGTTTTATTAACAATAGTTGTCTTCCCAGGTAAGACTGATATACATCTGTTGTGCTTTATTTTTAGGTCTTGTTTCTTTTTGAATTGGGAACCTTGAATAATGTAAATGTGAATAATGTGAATGCCCTTGGTAGTACCTTTGTCTAATATGAAATTGTTGACATGAAGTTTGTAAACATTGTGAAACCATGAGATTAAGTGAAATTTATTAAGGAAAGGGAACTGGGTTGAAACAAAATCAGCCATGTGCTTAATTTAGCTAACTTCTTACTCTTCGCGACTTAATTAGCATAAATTGAATATTACATGTATATTTGCTGGAAGGTGGTGTGGCATCTGACCATTTTAGAATACCGTGAGGAACAAAGAACTAGATCTAAGTGTTCTGTGTTGTCATCTAACTATATTGTGCTCACAGTAAAGATCAGTGCCTGCAGGAAAAGAACATTTTATTGCTCACTAGGTTTTCTTGATGCATCTGTCATTCAATGTTATATTTACTTCTCTCAGTTTTTTCCATATTTTCTCCACAGGAAAGTGATGCATCAAATAAAGCAATTTCTCTTCAAACACAAAAAGAAAACATTAAAAATCAATGGTTTCTCTTTGATAAAGTGATAAAGGTATTTTTTTTCCCCTCTCAGGGTATTTTGGCAGAGGAAATCCAATTATTCTTTTGATGCATTTGATGTAGTGCTGCAGTATTACATTAATACTAGCTTAAAATCAACTGAAGTTTCACAGACCTTTTTTATATAGACTTTTTCAATGTAATAATTTAAAATTGGATTTGGTTGCTCAATTCTCTTTGAGAAAGCTGCTGACACTATTGCTAATATTTGGATGAGATAACTTTATTTTGAAACATCCAAAACAAGAAAAATCTGATATTTAATACAAAATGCAAAGACAAAAGTAAACTAAGACAATAGTCATTAATAAGCACTATGTCTCCAATTCTGCATCACTTGTTTATAAACTGAATTAGTTAAATTTAATTAATGGTCTGCAGTATGAAATCTTGTTGAAATAGTAGCTTATAATGAGTACGTATTACAAATTATATTTGCAAGGTTTTTATCTTTATTCTGTCAAGGGGCATAACATATGCAAAAGGAGAGCAATATCAGGGGCTTCTGACTCATTCATGTGACTGCTGTGCTTAAAATGTCTGAGTAGACCTAATGTAAATATCCTTGGCTTCTAACGCTTGATATGTAATAGTGTTTCTCTGGCAAGGCTGATTTAGCTTCAGATCATCTCTAAGTCTTCTATAGTAAACCATACCACTATCTTGATATGACCGAAATGATCTGTATGACTGCTTTGCACAGCTAGCTAACATAGTTTCTTCTATGGAAGTGCAAATATACTGAGCTCCACTGAGGATCCAGACATCACATATCCCAATCTTGTTCTGTCTGTTCTGCTGCAATTACTGTCAGTATTGGAAAGCAACATGTATGTTAAGCAAATTAAAAAAAAAAATAATCAAAAAGTGGTCTCATGGTAGCTGTGGGTCCTGGAACAGGCACAGTAAGCAGATGCTTGGGCAGTTCACTATTGGTATATATCACATGTTAAAATAAGGCTGTGACAGCTCAGTGCAGAAGAGGCTCAAGGCTTTGTGAAGTACTGAGAACCACTGGCTCCATATGAATGGATATAAATGCTCACTAAGAGTGTACCTATAGGTTGGGCCTTAAAAACTTTCAGTTCGTTCCCACATCTTAAACCAAACATTAATTCTAATTATCTATGCCCAAGATGTTTATAGGAAAAGAGAGAGTGAATAATCAGTGCAACAGATTATCTTCCAATTCTATTTTCTTTTCCTAATGGAATTCAATAAGGGTAAGTAGAGATCTCAGATACACACATGAGCAAATAGTGCAAGACCTGAGGTGATTCAGGCTAACGGAAAGGTTTTGATGTCATGGAGATATGTAACAGCATATGTAGAAAGATGTTGCCCAGGGAAAAATAATGATCTTGGTGGTGATGATGATTAGGAATGGGATTGACATGGAAGATTCTCAAACAGCAGTAATTATTAAGTTCTGGATTCAATAGTCTGGAAACACGGGGATCTCCATTGCTAGCAATCTTGAAGAACAGTTAGGACTTAAATATGCCAAGAAAATTGCAGGGTTGGTGTAGTTGGGTCCCTCCTGAATCTAGCCCTGTTTGTGACTTTGATTCTGTACTGAAGGAACTAACTGGTAGATCATTCTTGCATTAATTAAAAGTGCAATTTCTACTCTGATTTGTAAATGATAGCATCAGTTTTAGATGCTCTCACCAACCCCAAGTTTTATGTTCAAAAACAGCTAACAACTCAACTTCCAGCTACACAGAACCCAAAAGGAAGTGTCACTCAGCTGTTTCACTGGTATGATGGTAAAAATTAAATTATAGAAATGAGTGAAATTTATCTTAACTGTAAGAACAGCTTCTTACAGACACTGATGGGAGACCCATTACTCAAGACACTTTACATCAGAACAAAGTATGAACAAATACTTCACCTCTTTGTTACTGTTATCTTTTTTTTTTCAGAATTAGTCAATGCATTAATTTCAGTGGTGTCACTTTTAGACATATTTCACTTATGCAAGTTTTGTAATGTATGGTTTATGATCTCATTTGACGGGATTTACTTTCCATGTTCACTGTTCATTTTCTAAATAACAGTTGCAGATGCTGGGCAAGTGACAGCACATTCCCATGTCATTGTTGACTTTCCAAGCATGCATGGATTGCTGATGTTCCCTATGCCTCACGGGACTGGAGGTTGCAGAGCTCTGGTAGGTTGGAGAGCTCCATTAAGACATTTTTCTAAAGTATAATGCCAGGATTTATTTTTATTAAAGCCATTGGCGAGTGGTAAGTAACACTTGATGTTCCATTCTCTTAAGGATTTTTGGACTGCTAGGAAAAAGAGTAGCTTTCATGGTGTTTTGAGCATTTTCGCAGACATACACAGCATGGTTACTGGATATTTATTATGTTTGTGTGGTGGTGTGGGCCTGACTCAGAGAGACTTGGGGACAAGCCATGTTCTAAAACTGGTACTAAGTGCAGACTGTTCTTTCTGAACACTTGTATGCAGCTCTGCATGCCTCTATTGGATGATAGATATGTGCAAGCTAGGCTCAGCAGGGTGAAGATTGCACAATGTATTCAACACATCTGACTGCTACTCCACTTATCTGTGGTGATGATGTGAATGTGATGCCCCACTGTCTGTTTTATATCGCTTGCTGCCTCTTGGAGCACGGCCTTCCTCTCCAAAACAAATGTATAGAAAGACACACAGTAAGGCGGTCAGCTGTAGCCAGGGTTTTTATTACTGCTTTTCTTGAAATGGCATAAAAAGGCTGCTGTGAGCTATGTGCTCAATGAGCCTTGTAAGGTTTTCATTTTCCCCCATCATATATGGCCAATTTGTTGGGTGGCAGCCATTTGCAGACATCATTTCATGCTGTGTTACCTCTGCAGGACCAATCATTTCTGAAGAAGCCGTGGCTTTTGCTCCTGCAGGTAACAGAAATGTGAATTTCTGGGGTTCATCTTGGTATTGTTGGTTGTGGCCCCTTCTCTAAGTATTGCTTTGTTTCCTGGGCCTGATCAGAGAGATGTCCACATTTCTACCACTAAACTTTCTTCTCTGCTAACGGTTTTGCAAAAGACCTTGCAAGTGATCCAATGTGTATTTCAAAGTGTTCCTTCATTGTTCCCAAGGAAGAATTGGTTGCTACTTCCAGTGAGTGTGCGCGTGCGCATGCCTGTGTTGGGAGGGGGTGACAGCTGAGTTCCGTGCTTTACAGGGGTGCTAGAAAGGAAGTCTCATTAATGTTTGGTAGTGGGTGAGATGATATAGTTATGGAAGTCACGTATGTGCACACAGGATATAAAAACTACAGCTGGAATCATTTTCATCTTAGAGCAATGAAGTGATGGGTTTTTTATCCTTTATATGGTAGTGAGACCTGAGGAGCAGTAGTTAGCAAAAAGAAAGGAGGGAAAAAACATGCACATGTAATAAAACCAATTATCGAAATGAAGGGCTTTATCTGCAATGAAAACATTTGTACAAAACATACGGTGTCAAACAGGTGGGCTGTAAGGATGTTTGGGAAGATCAAGCTTCTCCCTTAAATGCGGTTAATCAAATATCCTGCAAATAGAACAGATCTAGCACAGCAAGAAAGAGTAACTCAGAGAAAGGGATTTAATTACAGAATATTTAGTAAATATCGAATCAAGTGTTCAAAAAAATTATGAAGCTTATTAAGTAGTCCTGCATGCCGTTTTCGTGCCTGGAACACATCAGGCAAAGTTCTGCAGTTCTGCAGTAAAACATGCAGTTCCTGCAGATCCTGCTGCGTTGACTAGGTACGTCATCTAGCTCTGCCTTCTGAAAAGACTTCCATATAATGAAAGGATGACAGAGGAATTTTCAAGTGTTCAAATTAATTTAGGCTAAGTTCTGGGTTTCTTCACTGAAGTGAGGCTTTTAATCTTTTGATTCCTGGGACTGCTTATGTTTGATGAAAGCTCTGTCTTGGAGTTCAAAAATGAAGACAGTGAAATTTATTTTTTAACTTCCTCTTGATTTAGCTAAGAAGTAGAAAGCTCACAGTAGTTGTATAGCTGGAAAGAAAATAAATCTTTCTAAATGTGATATTCTATCTTGCCATTTTGGCTATGAGGATGATTACTTTTTTTTTTTTTTTGTCAAATCAGAAGTATAACTCATTGCATGATTTTCAAGACACTGCAAAAATAGACAAATATGAAACATTAGGAATTCGCAAATACATTAGCATTATTACTATTTTAAATTTACTTAGCATAAATCTCTTTTACCTCAGGGCCTGACAAGATGTCTCTTAAGAGTAAAAGCCTGTTTTATGGCCATTTGCAGAGTAGAGAATAGAAACAGACCAGAGCAAAACCTGCTGCACAGACGGTGGTATCTACTATAAGCCCTGTAGATATTCTTGATATCTCCTAAAAACCCTCTGTAAAATGTCAGTGGAGTTTTAATGCAACCAGTCAAAACCTTGATATAAAAGTTATTTTGCATGATGTGAACTTTACCTCAGCACTCTGGCAATGCTGTTGTTGCCAGTGGGGACACAGTACTGTTCTCAGGCCGTAACATTCAAGTAAATTAATGTGTCATCTGAGATTGTATTCCCCAGTATTCTGTCTCAAACGGTCTAATATTGAAAATGGGTTAAGGTTAAAAACAAATCAATCACCTCTGTGCAAATTTAAACATGCAAGGCTTTTTTACATTTGTACTTGATTTGACACTTCCTTCCTGCCCCCAACCCTACCACATATAGAGGATATCCAGTGCTGCTTTGTGTCAGGCTGCAAATTCTGTTTCATGTATAGAGCCTTGCATATACATTGCCTGCCTTTTGTCACCATACTGTGAGGAAGATCACAGGAGGTTACGCCAGAAAATCTTGCAACTACCATATCTTTAAACTTCAGTTTGTATCCTTTTTCAAACACAGCGATTATTGTCCTGTGCAAACCTGTTTTCAGGGTTGAAATTCAAGGTAATTAAGCAATTCTTGATCAAGGCAGCTGACTGCAGAGCTCATTAGTGGACTGTCAATTCAGAAGATACTTGTTTGAGAAACTGGAAAAAGTAGACAAAAATAAAATATTCAGTGATTCATGGGACAAGACTTTTATCAGGACAAAAGGATCCTGGTGACATTACTGGATGCTGTAAGAAGATTAAAGCTCTTGGAAAAGATACTCTCGAGTAAATGATTTGTTTGATCAATGCTGATGACCTAAGGTGAAAAGGGTCATAGCTAGAACTTCTGTCTCACAGGTCTAACACCAACAGAAGGGTCAGAGTAAATTTACTGATCTGGTTTGCAGCAATAGTGTAGTTTTGTAGTGAATTTCTGACTCCTTTCACTGCATGTTAGGCTATCAGAGCACTGTTACGATGTATACAATTTATTTTTCAGAAGGAAATCTGGAAGCTGAAATCCAAATATGATCTAAATTGTTCCAACAATTAGGTGTTTGACTAACCTGTGTGTCACCTCCCCACAAAGTCCTTCAGATTATTTCTGACATGGTTCTCTTGCTACAAAGGGCAAAGTGCTGTGTACGCCCTTGCACTTACTGTTGGTTATCAACCTCTAATTCATTCCTGAAGTTCTCAGCTTCTCCTTTGAAACAGCCTTCTCCTGTTTCAAAATGTTTTCCAGTCTTTTCTGTTTCCCATCCCTGCTTATGTTCCTTCTTCTCATCACTTTTATTCTTTAAATTGTTCTTTTTTTTCCTGGTTTTAAACTATTTTACCATGGTGAGAACTATGACTTCTGTCTCCTGCTGAATTCCAAGAGGAGAAACCTGAGATCCAAAGGTGGCTAATCATTTATTTGTGTGTGTTGAGAGATGAAGTCTTTTAGAAACACAATTAGCTGACTCCTACTGCTTTCCAAACTATTGTCAATTTATCTTTTTACAGCTGTGGCTGCTCCTTAAACAACTATTCCCAAGCTTGCTTTCCCCTACCCTGTCTCACAGAAGCTTTTATCAGATCAAGTGAGCTAACTCCTTTTAATCTTCCCTTTCTTCAGTCAGTTTCTACCTGAGCAGGAAACGGTCACAGGCTCTCATCTCCACCCTCTCCACTCCAGTGGCAGAGGGCAGGCAGAGATGACATCTTCCAGTAGCCAAGACCTATGGAGCCATTGGACACCCCTCAGGAGAAAGGAGAGGAAAAAATATTCTTGAGGTTCTGGAGGAAGATATCAAAACCACTAGCTAAGATACAGGAAAGGTGATGCTGTCCTAAGGATCATACAATCTCACCAGCTAGCCCTCAGTTTTCCAGGCCCAGAGCCTTTGGTAGACCACAGGCAAAAATAACAATAATAATAAATAAAAAAAATAATAAAATTGTTGCCATGCGGACAGCTTGGTTGCTGTAGTATCATTTGGCACCAACATGAAGAGCTGAGAAGAGGGTTGGGAAGAGAGAGAGAAAAGGAGTCTTGTTACCAAGTTTGTCTATTGAACCAATCTTTTTGCACTGGCCCACCTGCTACTGCATCCAGCAGCGTTCATATTCAATGAACTCTGAGCACACAGTCCCAGAACAAGGAACAAATCACCTTCTTCTACTGGCATACTACAGTAGTTTTTGCTATGGATGGCACACAGTGATTCTGTAGTGTGATAATCCACCTTAACTTTAGTTAGCACTGAAAGGGGGGGGGGGTATTATAGGCAATGCTTCCTAATTTTATGTGGGACTTAAATTACGCAGTGTAACGTGCCACCCTTTGTAGGGCATAGGGCATGAAGGGTCACTTGGATAACCTGGGAAGAAAGGGGGCTGATTCTCATGTACTGTAGTCACACCCCAGCTACATTAGGTGTCAGCAGTGAGCGCACATTTGTTTAACAACCTAGTGTCAGGCAAAGAAGCAGGGGGTGGGGGAAGGAGAGCTCAATTCTTCCTGCTGTTTTACCTCAAGTAGATCGCACAATTCAGCACTTAAGTGATAGGGACAACAAGGACCTGTTATGTGCTTGCTGTATGAGGTAATGATTTGGAAGATGGAAATGTATGACTAGAACATATAGAGGAATGCTCAGCAGCATGAACCTTCAAGTAGCAGAGTTGCGCTATATGGAGTTACCACATTAAAACAAAACAAAGTGCTCCTATTTATAACTTCACTGATAAATGACTTTTTAAAAAGCCTTCTAAAGTCTCATGGTTCTTAACACTTGAAATTCAGCTACCCCGTTGAATCTAGCTTTTCTAGATAAATTCTTCCTAATATTAGACGTCTAAAGCAATGTGTTATTAGAAGTGGGGCTGTGTAACATATTTTGCTTTTTGCTCTAAATTGAGCTTTCTGAAATTTGTGCCTATTTAAATCAACTCTTCCAAACAATAGAAACAACATGGTTTGACTTTTTTCTTTGTGTGTGTGTGTGGTTAGTATGTTTATTATCTATTTAATTAGTCTTGTTAAATGAATGACTCACACAAATCTTTTTGGTATCATTGCTCACTGACTACTTTTGAAGAGGTTAAACAGATGTCTCACTCTTAAATGGTAGACCCCAGACCTAGTTACCCTGATGGTATATTTTCAAGCAGTCCATGTGTGTTTTTAACAGCTGGTTTTATTTTGAGCGTAATATATGCATCTATGTGTATAAACATTGAAAAATAAAGGGAAATAGTTTTTTAATACAGTTAAATTATAAATATAAACCAGAAATTGGCAACATGGAGCAAAACTGTTATTTACTGTTATTGTGTAATTACCTTATTAGCTGGACAGTTTGTAGCTGCCTTCAGACCAGACCTAGGATACAATCTGCATCTTAATTTTTTTATTTATTTATTTTTTTCAGGGAGAAAGCGTAGCCTGGCTGACATCTATATTTGGTGCAGGATGCATACTCCTCTGCACTAACACACCACATCAGGAAGGAATTTCAAATGCTCCCAAGGAATTTAGTAACAAAAGTCCTGCTGACTACATGCATGGATGAGGGAAAACACTAATAATGTTTAATAAACTGTTCTTTTTCTCCTGCTGTTCGTGAAGGACAAACAACAGATTAATGAGCTATCTAATATCTTTGTTCTCCTGATAGAATTGAATGCACTGGGCCACAGTTTAATTGTGCTTTTTTTTTTCTTTTTTTTTTCTTTTTTTCTTTTGACAGGCTTGTACCTGTGAGCTAACTGTTAAAACTGCTGCATTTCTGTATTCTACAGAGTATGGGTGTTTTGGACAACTCCTGGTGAGATACATATGTTGAGCTTCCCCTCTGGTGCTGTTGTAGAAAGCCTAGTTTCCTCAGAATCACATGGAGAGTGAAGGTGGTCTCTACTATTTCTTCAGTAAACTTAAGAGGACACACAGGTTGCTCTCTCCCACATCCCAGGTGGAATGAGATGTGATTGTTTCATGTTTCACACGTGGTAGGTTTTTTTTTGTTTAATCTTGTCACCCTATTCAACAGTTAACATTTTCCTTATTTATGTTTTGCCATTACATTGACATCTGAGAAGTCATCAAGTCACTCTTTTCTTTCAGTCTTTCCTGTAGCTGTTATTTTAAGGAAAGTTATAAATCCAGATTGTGTTTATTATTTTTTTTCTATTGGCTGTGACAGTAGAAATAAAATTAAGCTTTCAAAGAAAGATGATACTGAGTAATTAATGTGTTTGGATTTGGAGACATCTGTTCAGATGAGTTAGTTTAGAGATGCATCTGTTAATCAGTCACAGCTGCCAATGTCCTCAGAATTATTGCAGAGACCTGTGTTGCTTGTCTCCCACCCCCTCTGTGATGCCTAGTGAATAAAAATGTAATCGGTCCTTATTTGTCAGTATTCCTTTTTACCCTGTATATGAGTCAAGTAAAGAACAGCAAGACCGCCCTTTTTAAAAAAATAAAAAAAATAAAAATGTTAGCAATAATGGTCTATTACACAAAATTTAGGAGCTGGACTTTTAAATATAAAGGTTATAGAGCTTCCTTAAAATAAGCATGGAGGCTGAAGTGATATAACGTGGCTGTAAGCCCTAGTTAAATTTGGTGGATCTTTTCTATCATTGAGGAAATAGTGAGGACTTAGGTACTATTTTGACAAATGCCAAGTACAAATAGTATGTATACTTTGTGGAAGTCAACTAGGGTCCAGTAAGAGGGTAACAAGGAAGAGAGTGCTGTGGGATGAAAGAGGAGCATGAAAAATTAATGACTAATGGATTGAAAAGCATCAGCTGTCACTGCTTTCCAGGTCTGTTTACTCTATGGGTTGTTTTAAATGTTGTTCTTGGAAGAACATAAATAAAGATTGTGCTCATATACACAGAATTAGCTTAAACTGTTTGCCAGTTTCTTGATCTCTGGTACACTCTGATTTTACACAGCAGATTGTTTTTCTTTCACAGAGACATTCAGTACATCAGGGATCAACCAGGATAACTCGTTTTTGGTCTTTTCTCTGCTTCATGTGACAGTGCTTTTCAAGTAGCTTTTTCTCAATGTGCTGCTTTTTCTGGGTGGCATGAAGCATCCTCGGGACTGGTGATAATCTAGCACGAGTAGAAGGGTTTTCATTAGGGTGATGACTAGGATGAGTGGAAAGATACAAGCTATAATGCTTAAATATGCTAATATGATTTTAAATAAGATAAATCTGTGAAGTGTAAAACATTAATTCATACATGGATGATGGTTCTTTCTCTACACTTTTTGCTGGGGGTTGTCTTTTACTCCTTGGGCACTCTTTCACAGTCATTTCCTAGTCCTTTACTGGGATTTCTGTGCCTTCTCTTTTTGTAGTATGCAAGTATGGCAAAAAAAAAATAAATAAATAAAATAAATAAAATAAAATAAAAATGGGGGAGCCACTGGGGTCACTATTTTACACATGCCTTTCCTTAAGCTGGTGGACTCATCACTGACAGGGAAATGGCTTCTGCCCATACTTCAACCATTATCCACCTAAAATTAATCTCATTTACCTGGGCTGGCTCTTCAACTCCCTTACTCATAATAGTAACCCTGTTTTGGGTGTGGGGAGGTAATGCTCATTTGCTTGTTCCCCCCCCCCCCCTCCCCCCCCCCCCCCCGCCTTGGTGTAGGGCACCTGCCCTTTCTCAGGAGTTCTGACAGCAGTCTGGGTGCCCTGAGGTACCTGTGGGTCTGCAGCTGCTGTGGTAATATGGGATGGGTGTCCCTCTCCCACCAGTTCTGCTGAGGGGAGCAAGGCCACACCAGGCTGAGCTGCCCTTCACCTGGGCCATGGTCTGTGTCATAATCATACAGCCCTTGTGGTAGCATTGGGGTAACTTGTTCTCCTCATTGCTCTGCCTTCTGGGCACTGGGGCGACATTTTATGCCCAGCACCCTCTTGTCCTGTCTCTCTGGCCCTGAGTAACAGCTGAGGGTAATGTCTGCAAGTGCTTCCATTTCCTTCTGTTTTCTTGCAGCCTTCATAGCACGGGTCTCTCCAAGAAGCACTTATTTCAGCGTTTTCCCTATACGCATGTCAATATGACTTATGACATGACTTATTATAAAGGTTTAAATGCTCTGAGTCAGTGGAAGAATTATGTTAAACAGATGTATTCAGTAACTAGCAAACAAGTTTGTTTGTTTGTTTGTTTGTTTGTTTTTTAACCTGTAGAATGTGAAAATTTAGATTGTATAGTTGCATGCTTTGAAACCTCAGAACACCATATTTGTCTGTAGAGCCTCAGTAGTAAAATTGCTTCTAGCTCTTTTAATTTAAGAAACTTTTTTTCTTTGGTTAGTCAGTGCCAGATGAGGTTCATGGTTGCTGCACTTGACACTTCAGATGGTGACAAAAAAGAACAGACAGCTTAATGCTACCAAACTAGGGGTGTGTCAAATCTCTCTCTCAAGAATGATAAACTCAATGGAGTTGTCTATTTTTAACCTCCTGTTCTTTCCTTTTGGCAGAGTAATCAGTGTTAGCTGAGCTCTTTCACTGAATGAATCCAAGAAGCCCTGTTTGTTGCTTTCTGAAATGAGCAGCGGACCTTGTAAGAGCATTTCCAAGACTGCTTTAATGTATGAAGTCCCATTTTGAAACACAATGTCAAATGAAGCCAGTTCGGGGCAGAAGCTTTCTACAACAACTGTCAGTTCGGTTGCTGTTCATGCCGGGAATGCCAGTATCGTTATAGCTGTACTTAAGGTAAGGCAGCAACTGCTAGCACTTTGTTAAATATTCTGCACAAATGAATAGTTAGTACAAAATGACAAGGCAAGGTAATTTAGTTAATATCTGATAGAGATTCCTTGGACATAAACACTGTTTCTGTCCCTATTTTTTATTTTTAAATAGAATAAATCATTTGCCCAAAATATGTAGGCTCCTGGAAGCAAGTAATTCCTTTTTTTTTTTTTTTTTTTTTTTTTCATTTTAAAAGTAAGAGTGCCTTGAAAACGTGTTTATAAACATATATTACTTCTTGAGGAGACTCAGCTACAATAGTTGTAATTTTTAAGTAAGGCTGCTTGTTATGTAAAATTATTGCTACCAACTCTGTAAATGCAGATTGCATTTATCTGTTTTGGAGTGTTTGCTGGAAATAACTACTCATTATCAATTATAGTACTTTTTTATTTTTGAAAACTGTGAATTCATATTCACCCATGTACTTACAGAAGTCCTGATGTGTGTATATAATTTTACTTATGAGAACCTAAAGGCCTGTTTATGAGCTGGAATCTGCACCTTCATCTCACACAAAATTTTGGTACATGGCATAAAGTAAACCTGGAGGTCTATGTACTGCATCCAAGCTGAAGTTTTTTGGCAGTTTAATTATTCATTTTCCAGGCAACTTGGAAAGCACCCTATCCTCAGCCACTGGAGTTTGTCTATAATGCAGAATAAGGTGATAATGTGTTAAGGCTGTCACCAAATTCGGGTGATTATTCAGTATGGGGTTACTTCAGTTGTGCCAGTGGCAATGTTCCATCTTCAGTTCTGACCCTTTCTGGGAGACTCCATTTGCTGTCACAGGGCAGTGATTTTGTTTCAAAGATGCTTAAGTGTAGGATGAAGACACTAATTTTTCCTTTGAGTGCTGTGGGTTCCTTGTGTGCTAGCTTTCAGTGGCAACACCGCTTCATTCCTGGTCATCATCCTCTATGACTTGTATTTCTCAGACTGTAGCAGTTCTGCAGCACAGGGAGGAAAGAATTAGTTATGCTTTGGGTTGCTGTCATGCATCCTTTCTTTGTATATCCTCCAGGACAGTGTGAGAGATAGCTGTTGGAATAGGAACCCAAACAGCTATTAATTGTCCCTGCTGCTTTGTGGAATCTCTGTATACCCAGTATTCAGGTATGTTGGATTTGTGTGCTAGAAATAAAATGTGGTATTAGAACTACTATATCTGCAGAAAAATATTTGTTCCTTCCCAATCTGAGTTTCCTTAACTGCACAGTCTTCAGCTGAAAGGGGAGATGAGTTGGTGGTAAGTTTTTGATTCATTGTGATAATCCTACTCTTCATAGGCAAAAGCAAAATCCCATGAGAGACTGGATAACTGGAGTCCATCATTTTGATAGCTGCTTCAAATAAAGCTAGGTTTATATTGTAACCTCTGTCTTTGTTCTACAACTGAGGACGTCTATGTGTCCCTGTGATCCTATTACCATGGAAAGTATGTGTGAACTGAGAGTCTGTGTGAGTAAATAAATAAAGAAAATCCTGTGTTTTCTGAAGCCCGTAATTTTAATTTATTACAGTGTGGAAAATGGGTGAAGCTTCAGCTGGCTGAATCAACACCAAATTTATTAGAAATTGGCAGCAACCAAGATGAGACTAAAAAACTACTACAAGATCACGAACTCCTCCTAACTAAACTTAAGGTAAGATCTGATAAGGCAACACAAAAGTATATTGAATCGTTATGTTTCAGATTCAGTTGACATAGTTGCTCAGGCCTCCTGTTGTGATGTGTTTGTTAGGTAACTCCACATAGAAAAAATATTTCAACAGTTGTCAGTATAGCAGATCGATCTTAGGTCTCTGCATTGAAAAAATATGATCAATGATAATTAATATTCTGACAACAGAAGTAAAGGTGCATTGTTTTTTTCTGCTTTATGCATTACTGTCAAGTGAAAAATTCCTGCAGTCTTCAGTAACTGCTAAATATAAAATAATGTCATTATTATTATTATCGCTCCAATAGTGTGAAAAGTTTGGTTGTGTTTGCAACTTACTAGAAATTAATCAAGCTCTTCACAAGTGTGAAGTGGATATTCCAGGCACATTTTTATTGAATATTAATTGCTGTAAATTATGGTAAGAATGGTACTGTAACATTGAGTATTGCTTGTCTTGAGATAGGAAAATTTTAGCTAAGTAACAGAACTGAAATTAAATTTTAGCAGTCTTGAGAGCAGGATATAACAATTACATTTGGACACAGTGACATGCTTGCATGAAAAAGCTGATGTATCTTAAATATGAATGCTTGATATGGAGAAGAATGTAAGTCTTACAAGAAGGAAATACATTTTCCTGATTTAAAAAGGCAGATTGCTTTTATATGTGTAGACAAATTCATTTAAATTCTTAGAGCTATGCACAGTAAATTATCTGTAGACAAATAAATTCCTCTAAAATTTTTGATCTGTGTGCAGTGATTTATCTAACTGGGTTCTATCTATTTTATTTATTAACTTATTTATTGAGATTAGATAAAAAATCAGAGCTGACTGAGCAAACATGATCTGGATAGGTGTTCACTTGATTTAATATTAGTGACCACAGTCACATGTAAAACACATTTAAGGTAATTTAATATGGTATACAGAGAATGTAATATAATATAGTGTATAGTATAGAATTTGAACAACATGAATAGCATTAAAAAACAAAGAGTGGTTCTGCTGTCTTTGCTTGTGGAAGTGTCTCATCTTTATTGCCATCAGTGTTAGACTTGGGCATTTTTGGAACAAAATGCTGTATCCTGTTTGAACAATTCAGAATTAGCTGAGTTCTTTACACACCGACAACATGAAGCTGAATTTTGTCTTCTAATACTCAGAAATTGTAAAGTGTGGAAAAAGAAAACATAATAAAAATCTTTAAAAGAAAAACAGATGTTCAAATAACATTTTACTGATGAGTCAAACCTTAAAACTTTATATATTCCTATTAAATATTGTTTGCTGAGGGGAAAAACTACTGTAAATATTGTTCTAAGAGATCTTGTGGTGTTACTGAAACTTATAAGGACATGAACAATGACAGTAAACAATAGAATCCTCCCTCTGGACTTCAACTTGAAATTACTGTATTATAGAAAACAGAAAACTTTTTTTTTTTTTTCCCTAAAGTATGTTTTGATTGGTCCCTAGATGCATCCCCAAGTTATACTTTTTTCTATTTTTTTTTTTTAATCTTGAAACTAAAGTTAAGTTTTGGATGTTTCTTTTCATTACAATTTGCTTAAATACTGAGAATCAAATAATTCAAAAGCATTTCATGCTCTCTGATGCTAATTCAGATGTTTGACTAGTATAATCTTTCTATTCCAGTTAGTTTAGATGCATGGAGCCTTAAGTTCATTTTTAATTTAGCAGCACTTACTTTTCCTACTCACATCAAGCAGTAGGATAATAATAAAAAAAAAAAAATCACAGATATTTTAGTTAATATTAATGAAAATACTAACATTTTTCACTCCCATTTTTGAATCCTTATGACTGGCTGTTTGAACCCAGATGACCCATCTTTATATGGGTTTGAAAAGCATGGTAGATTGGATCAGAAAGGGTATTGTGCATAAACAGTTAAAGAATCCTAATTGGTAAAAACCTAATAAACACAACAAAACAACAACAACAAAAACTCATGATTTCATATTTTATACCTGTTATCCTATCAAAATTCAGGATTGATTAATGAACATTCTACAAAAAGATTAAACGTAAAATGAGTGTTTTTCTCTGTAATTTAAGAGCTGCAGTAAAACAAAACTACAATGTCATTATAATTCTTACTGACTGTGCATTATCAGAGATGACTCTGTCTTACAATAATCTGTTAACTCTTGCCAGTACTTATTGAGCCATGAGTTACTAAATCCACTCATCAAAAGTTTCATAAGAATGATTCTTAGTCTTGGAAGTATTGACAACTTTTTCCCCTGAACATTTGTTCATGATTTATGCATAAGTTATGTGAAGAAGGATAAAGAGGTATTAATGTTTCAGTCTTCAAAATCTATGAACATAAAGTTTTGATTTATGAAAGGATGAAAAAGAATTTAGAAATGTTAGTAGGAAAGAGGTTAAAAAGATGATATATTAGGAAAGAGGTTAAAAAGACACAAAATTGCAGTTGTCAGATGACACATTTCGATGTAGTCCAGTAATTCTGTTTGGTCTTTTACCTTTAGTGAGAAACACAATTTTATGAAACTTAACAATAAAGAATTATGCATAAACAAGGCTTTAGCTGCGATCGTATCCAATGTAGCTTTTAATGCTTTCCTTTGGACTACAAGTTGTTACAGTAATTCACTGTCTTGTTCCAGCTGACTCTATCAATGTGGTCTACAGCAGTTTGTAACTTTTGCTCTTAATTAAATCTTGTAATTCGGAATGTATTATAATTAATCTAAAAAAGATAAAGTTAAGGTCTTGTGCTCGGGTACAGCTAGCCTTACTACATTTTCATATAGTAAATCATAAATATCTTGTTAGAACAGCATGTTTATGAAAATGAAAGGTTTCCAAGAAATAACTCATGAATATCTTCCAAAAAGTTTTAGTTAAAAACAGTAAATTTATTGCACTTGCTATTATATTGATTATGATTAGAATTGCATCAAATATTAAACTTAATTGAATATGAAAATTTGGTAGGGAACTTATTAGCTTCAATGCTTTTCATGATCCTTAAACTTTTTAAAAATATATTAGAAAGTTACAGTATAGCAAGAGTGGAAAAAAGTTTTTTCTACCATACTTCATTAAAAAGAAGGATGCAATCCTATTTTTGAATTCTGGAGCTGGAAATAGTTTACAATGTAAACTATGTCAAAAAAAAAAACAAAAACAAACAAACAAAAAAAAACACTATAAAAATAGTGTAATTAAAAATGTCTCCATTTAGATCCTGAGGAAATAGTTGCAATTCTGTAAGTTGTACAATTTTTCAGTCACTGGAATTTAAAGTACAACACTGAGTCATCTTTGATTTTTTTTTTCTTTCAGTTTCTCTTTTATGTTGTATTAAAAAAGATTGTGAAATGATCTGGGTTTTGATTCATCCTTTTGATTTTTAGTTTTATTAGTCTCATCCCAATATAAAAGTATTGTAAGTTATAATCAAAATATTCTGTCCAAATTCTTTTGTCAGCTTTAAAAGTTGAGCTTTTGCAGGTATAAGGAAGGATAAAATTTGGCATGGTAGTCTGTAATCAGTTTATAGTAAGCCTGATGGTACAGGAAAAGGAATATAATCCAGCTTGCCATTACAGGGAACTGACTCAGCAATGCCAACATGTTAAATAAATAAGAAAATAAGTAACCAGTTCAACATACAGGCATAGAGAATGGGGTACATTAAACTATGTTAGGAGAAGACCTGATGACTGAGAAGTAATTTCTGGAAAATTTATTTTCTGCTTTTGATTATCAGAATTAATGCGATAAAAATTGTGTGTGCCTTAGGATATTAGGAATTAAAAAACACCATATATAGTATAAACACCATAAATAGTATACTTTGGGAGAAAGTACTCAGTTACACTCATTACTGATTTAAACTTCTTCCATTTAATTTGGGAGTGGAAACACTCTACTTTTCATGAAAAGTAAAATAAAACTTTTCAAAAGGTCCACATTTCAAATGCTTATGGATTAGGAAAGACATATATTGCTAATAATGTGAAAGAAAAAATGCTGAGCAGGAAATATGTACATGGTCTTTACAGTATCTACTTAAAATTTCTTTATGTTCTACAGATCTCATTTTACTTGTGTGATGAGGATGTCCTTTAGAGTGCAATTATTCTGTTTTGCTAAATTGTCGTATTTACTAATAGCGTCCCAGAAGGTTAATGAAACTTGTTTAGCAACAGACATCTAAAAGATAAACTATAGTTCAGTTGCCTTATTTTGTTCATTGATGCCTAACTGATCAGGAAAACCTATATATACTCATCCTTTTCCCTTCTTTTTAGACAAACATTGTTTGTTTGTTTGTTTTGTGGACATAAATTTACTGTTTGTATGTGTTAAAGAACTGAAATAAAATGTCTCTTATGAACAAGGTTAAGAATAATCATAAATGTTTTTAGATTTGGAACCAGAGCCTTTTCTTTGTGATTTGACCATTCAGTATTGTGATCTTATATATTCTGATTTAAAACTAGTATGTTCTATTGTTTTTTGGTAAATTAGACCATATCAGAAAAAGCAGTTTTGTAGGAAACATCAATTTCTGTATACCTCATTTTTGACAGTTTCAAAAATGTGAGCAGAATCAACCCCCCAAAAGCTTGGGAGACCAAAATTCTGGGGGTAAAATAATATCAATTACAGTGCATATACCTACTTTCTTCCATTCTCCATAATTCAGTTGTTTCTAACAGAAGCTCTACTGGGAGCTTCTCAGCTGTCTCAGTGGATGCTGTCTCAGTGTTTAAATCTCTCAATACTAATGTTTTCTGGATCATTAAAAAAGTGTGTGCACATGTATTGCCATGCTTTTGGCTATGACAATGTTAAAATCCCCAATAAAACAAACAGCAGCATTCTTGATTTGTCTCCAAAGTTCTGGTTTTTATTATGAAGCAGACTTGCAGAAGTGCTACAAAACACAAACAAATCAATTCTATAAACTTTAG